CCATTTTGCTTGGCTTGGGTCTTGTTCAATCAAATACTTCCACACATCTGGTGAAGTATCACACTTCATCTCCACTGGGCACCAGCCCATTCCACTACACTTGCTTATAAGTTCCCTGACGGATCTAAAGTCTCCTTTCACCTTCAACAAGAAAAGGTCCAAAACAAATCAACACGGCAACTTTTAAGATCGAAGATGGTGAGATAAGATCAACACTATACCTTTGTAAACTTCGTTGAGCAGTGTTCAGCGGTTTTTTTGAGGCTCAAGGGTGGCTTGGTTCCTGCAAGTGCCTTTGCGCAATGGTCCCACGTTTGCCTCTTCCAACCCAATTCCAATATCCTACCATCTTCCTTCTCATTCAACAAAAAATCAATCATTGTCGCCTCGTTTTCTTCAGTCCATCTTGCGTAGATCTTTGGTTTATGAACTTTTGGTGTATCAGCATCTGGTTCATGGATTGCTTCTTTCTTTTTTTGGGCCATTTTTGAGCAAAGTTTTCTTTAAAAAAACAGACAGATCAGTCTGGCTACGAGATCACAACAACTCTTGTTTCAGCCTAACAATAATCACCTCGGGCAAGTCTATGGCAATAGCCAGGTCAACCTGCCAGATTCTAGCAAAACAGCCAACCTGACAGGTTGACCAATTTGGCTGGTAGACCTCCAAGGCATACACTTGATTGGTTTTCAAAAAACTTGTACCAAACGGTTCAACACTCAAGTTGGCATTTGAAATACCTCTCAGGCGGCCGCCTGAGCATTTGGCTGGGTCAACCTGAGAGGTTGAAGGGCACCGAACTGGCCCTGAGCAAATTGAGACTCTGGCTGTGAAAGCCTTCCTTCTCTAAGATATTTGATCAGTAGCCTGGGGTGATGTACGGATGGAAATGCTGATTTTACATCAGCAAATAGAGCTCCAACTACATGGCCTCTTGTCCATTCCTTTCGTATCCAGGTTACCAGGTGAGTTAATGCTTTGTGTCCTGATTTATTAGGACATCCTCCGTAGTGGCCTTCATGTAAGAGCCTCTTGCTTTCCACCTGCTTGGAGAGATGCTTTGTGAGTATTTTTTCGTAGATTTTGCTCAACGTGTTAAGAAGAGCAATTGGTCTCTATGCTGATGCTGCTGTATAATCAGGCTTTCCGGGTTTGGGAAGCATGACTGTACGTGCCTGTTTCCAGTTGTTGGGGATTAGACCAGTCTCTGTGATTTGTAAAAACAGTGCTCTGATGTGTTTCCTGGCTTGCTGCCAAGTTTGTTTCCACACCCAGTTTTGGAGTTTGGCCAATTCTGGGGCTTTGATTGGTGGTACGCTCATTATTGCTGCCTTGATGTTTTCTTTGGTGAGGTAGCTGAAGAAGTCTGGCATTGATGGTTCTGTGGGTCAGTTAGATTAATTTGATGGGAATTGAACATGTTCTAAGTCTTCTCATCCCCAAAGGACTCTAACGCACTTCATTCCCGATCTTTTGTTTTTTGTTTTTACTTGCTTAGATATATGTACTCTTGTCTAATTGTGTATTACTCTCTTTCCCCATCTTTTGGGAAGAGAGTAAGTTAACCCTTATCTTTTTCTCTATACTCACTTATACCAATGTCAGTTCATTGTTAGAAAACCACAAAGATCACTTGTCATGAGCCTTGGAGAAGTGCTCACATAGCACACTTATATATCAGGTTAGCTAGTAATGAATAATTATCTTTTGGGAAGAGAAAAACCGCAAAGATCACTTGTCACAAGCTATTTGCTCATTAAAATTATCTTTTTCTCATTTCACTATCATTCCTCCTTTACTAGGTGAGTACCATAGGTCTGCATACCTATAGGTTGGAGAAGAAGTGCTCATGTAGCGCACTTATATATCAGGTTAGCTAGTATAAAATCTATACTTATACATATATAATCTTTTTCTGGAAATTCTTTGATGAGACTTGACAAGATAATTGTTTAATAGATTGCCCATAAATTCATTTTTCAATCATCTATCTCAAGTTTTCATTTCAAGATCTTCTTTACTCATACCAGAATAAATTTCATCTAAATTGACCTTACAAGGAAGGAGAAGAGGAATCAATAAATTACATAAATTGTGAAATCAAGTGCCAATAAAATCGTTCAACATTTATTAAGCTATTATGTTTCTTTTGCTTGTTTTCTTTCTTATCTTGTCTAATTACATAACAAGACTCTTTGAAGCTTTCTCCAATTTTCTATCTACATATCTGGTCAACTCACACTACATGTTAAACATTATTATACATAAATGTCACATCATAACTTCAAAAATTAAAGGTTAGTATGAATTTAACCTTTTCAACTTTTACCAAAAATACTAAACTTATCAAAGTCCCACGCTCGCGCCTACTCGCAAGGCGTCGAGCGAGGGACTTGTGCCAAACTCGCACAAACTCATTGCTCAGGGTTGAAGCCTTTTGCAGGAGAGCGTCTCAAAACCCCTCTACAGCCTTTTCCTTCAAGCAATGGTTCTCTGGACCAAAGAAAAATCTTGTTTGCCGTACTTTTCCGCACATTGTACATATCTTTTTTCCCAAGGAAGTTTCTCCTCTCCTTGTTTAAAATTGTCTCAAAATTTTTAGCAATCTATATGTAGATGTAAACATGTGCGAGTTATATGTAGGTAGACTGCGGAGGAAAAACCCGGAAAGTACAAAGAACTCACTGGCAAAACTTATTTTCCAACCTTGAGATCTTCTCACCTTTGCAACACCTTCTTTCTTCTTGCAATCATCATTTCTCCCGTTCAATCAAACACTTTGATTTTGACCATCACAAAATCAATTTCACTCTTCCTAAAACGAGAATGGTAAGTTTCTCTCTTAACCAGCATCCTCAAAAGATTTACTGAATAAACTAATATAAAAATCCGTTCGTTTTTCTTCCTTGTTAGTTCTGATGAAATTCCTTTGGTTCCACATTTGATACATCAAAATTCATCTTTTGATCGATCACCAAATTGTCTTGTCTTTACACAGATCATATCACCACTCCCAAACCTCAAACCAATCCACTTTCACCAAGTTCATTTCTTTGATGATTCACATCAAATTCGGATCATCTATCATCTCAGAGACTCATATTGCTTGTACAATTTGGAGTGCACCAGATCATGTAGATATGAATTTCTCATGTCATCAACTTAACCATTTTCATGATTCTATTACAAAATCAATCGATTTAGATTTACTAAGCAAACCACTTTGTTTTAATTTCTTGAACTCTTTCGATGATCTTGAAGTTATCCATGAAATGTATTATTAAAGATCTGTATCATGAAGGTTCATTGATGTATAATGTGGAATTTCGATCCAAGGTGCAAAAGTAGCAAGGTTCATAGGTTCGATTTGATTAAAAAATGAAGGTGATCTTGAATGTAATAAACCAATGAATAATCCACTAATCAAACCACCTAAAGAATACCAAACATGTTCATTTCATTAAAAGCTTTTCGAATAGGATTTGATTATAATTTGATGATCTAAAGAGTAGAAAAGAAAAAATGAACTTCCAATGCGACTACATTTGGTGACTGTGCCTCTAGGCTACCATACTACTTGGACAAAACGGAAATAACAAAAGTGACTTAGCACTCGCAGCAATTACACTGCAATGTTACATGTTACAGTTGAGAGGTTTTTAGAAACTTTGGGGTAATTTTAAGGAGGGAGGGGAGAAACTTCCTCGGGAAAAAAGATATGTACAATGTGCGGAAAAGTACGGCGAACAAGATTTTTCTTTGGTCCAGAGAACCATTGCTTGAAGGAAAAGGCTGTAGAGGGGTTTTGAGACGCTCTCCTGCAAAAGGCTTCAACCCTGAGCAATGAGTTTGTGCGAGTTTGGCACAAGTCCCTCGCTCGACGCCTCGCGAGAGGCGCGAGCGTGGGACTTTGATAAGTTTACAAAAATACACATCTTTTTCTCTATTTTGCACTGCAAAAAAATATTTTAAGATTTAATTTCTTCCCCCCCCAACAACGCCCAAACCAAACCGACACGATACGACTTTTCGGAGGTTTTCCATGTGGTATCGGCCAACCCACATATTCAGACCAATACCCGATACGATATGAGGGCAAAAAAAACCGGTCGGCCATATCGTGTCGCTGAAGCGATACGAGCCAATACCATAGTTAAAGATTGGTTGCAAGGCTTTTCAAGTAAGAAAAAGGCGAATTGCCAGGAATTGCCTCCATCCTATATTGTGTCGCCGATACCCGATATGGGAAATCCTCACTCCTCAAATCGGGTTGGCCAAACCGACATGAGGAAAACCAATGATTTGGTGTCGGGTTGGCGACACGAAACCAATCCGATACCAACATCCAGGCCGGATTGGTTCGGGCGTTGCCCCCAAGAGAAATAACCAAAAAAAATCATCAACAAATTTTTAGTATATAATTAATAAAATCATATAAAAACTTGATTAAACTTTTTATTTTGATGTTAATTTTTCTAAATTAGATCTAGAATCAAATCAATTTTGGTTTGTTTTGTTTTGAGAATTACAATTGAGTTTTTTTTTTAAAAAGATTTCTATATATATATAAAACAAAAACAAAAGATGCCTTTAATAAATCTCACATTCATATCACAACTAACTGTTCTTTTTTTTGCTTCTTCTTTCTACTTTTTTTTCATTTGTTTTATGAAAAAAGAAAAAACATTATCTTGAGCAAAAAGAAAAATACAAAGTTTGAAAAAATGGGCAAAAACAAATGGTCCAAGAAGAGATTTTCTTTTCTTGTTCGTTTGGTTGTTAGATTTTCTTTTTTTTTCTTCTTCTTAATTGAAGGTCTACTCAACTCTTATAAGGGTTTTTTTGTGATGGTCGTTGTTGTTGAATGAGGTATACATGGACAATATGATGAATGATAAAAAAGATAAGTCAGATGTTAAGTGATCAATAAAGAACAAACAAAATGCCACTAGCTAATAGGATGAAATGAAAAAAGGACTCGAAACGAAGCCAAGAGTTCTTTATTCAATTGGAAGACCTTCAATTCCATCCATCAAATTTAACATTGGTACATCTTGATCTCCATCACCACCGACTCCTTGATTCCTTTCAATTACACTCTTGAAAAGTGGTGTATCAAACATTTGATTAATTGCTAATCTAAGTTCTTCTTCTTCTTCTACTTTACCTCGCTTCCTTTGTGGTTGTGGTTGATGATTAATTTCATCTTTTCTTGTACCTCTTTTTCTTCTCGATTTTCGATTATTAGGTGAAAGTAATAAACTTTTTGCATTTAATTTTTTTTGTTGTACTAAACTCAAGGTTTTTTCTCCTGCTCTTGCTGACGGCTGAATCGCTCCGTCTATCATGATCGGTTGTGGTGGTTCATTTGACATTCTAAAAGCGGTCATTGGAACTCTTCTCCATCTAGAAAGATCATCTAAATTCGATTTCCCTCCTCTTTCTTCAATGCTTTCTTCTATTCCTTCAGCATGACCAAAATCAAAAAAATCGTCATCGTCTTTTGAAGAGATTCCATGAATGAAGGCAGTGATATCAAAATCGTCCTCTGGAGCTGATTGTTCAGCTGGATGATTTGAATCCGGTTTAGGTGTTCCTAATGACGATCTTTCACTATCATTTCCACATGATTGATCTCGTAGCTTCTTGAATCGATTATATCGAACCACTTTTCCACCCGTGAACGGTGAGATCGGAGGGATGGCTTTTTCGTCTATGATCGTACGGCCAGCAGTTTTAGCCACTGCAAATGATCCCATCACCGGTAGTTGGATCTCAGGTGTGGGTCCTAAAGCTTCAGTAAGAACCGGCCTAGTTGTAGATGAACCAGGAGGAGCTGGGAGTAGACAAGAAGTAGAGATACTGGGTGACTCGATGATCCGCCTTGTTGCTTGAGGTGATGCGTTTGCACTTTCTTCTTCCGGCAACACAAAGAATTCAACATCGCCCGATAGTTCGAAATTGGTTAACAGAGAGCCAAGAGCCGAATCCGGAGGTAAATCAAAGAACATTGCATCGTCTTCCTCATCATCATCTACTTCTATACCAAATTTCACAAGACCCGAATGATCATCTTCGTCTAATGAATCCGTCGTATCCCCATCTTCTTCTTCTACCTCAATTTGTTCCTCATCTGGTTCATGAGTCTGTAATGATTCAAATTCTTCAATGATCATATAACCTGTCTGACTACTACCGCCGCTATCACTACCGAAGTGACTTTCCAAATCAAAGTTTTCACCCAAGTCATGGTCAATGGACTGGAATCTAGTCATCTCTGTTAGATCGTAATCACTGGCTTCCATTAAGAGGAACTCGGCGAATTCATCAGTCTCGTCGCTCTTCTCTCCTTCATCTAGAGTTCAAAGGAGGCTGATCAGCTTCAATGTTCAAAGTATGAAGGGTTCATAGTTGAAGCTAAAGCTTACCGTACTCCGACTCGGACCAAGTGACAGGCACGCCTAGCTCATTGGCACCAAAATCAGTGTATTCTAAACAGACATCCTCTCCTAACTCGGAGGCATCATCCATCACGATATCTGTTAAAGGTGCTCGGCTGGGACTTGTCTCAGGTGGTCGTTCCAAAGTCACTGGAGCTGTTGCAGTCAAGGTATCCAACAGTTTGCTGTCATCGTTAATGGTTTCGGATTGAGCCGGTGCTTGAGGCTCGGCCATAGCCTCAAAGGGTGGAGAAGCGATCTCGATGGTATCTTCAGACATCGATGATGATGAGTCACTACTATCGTCCTCTTCTTCGTCGTCTGAAGATAAAGATGACAGACTAGAATCTGAATCTATTTCAGTGGGTTTCATGCGTTTGGAGCCAGACTGGGTATGCATCGAGGTTGGTGGTTCGGCTCGAGATGTATCATTGTTCTTGTCATTGTACCCGGCGCCGCTCAAGTTGAATGGATCCGGAGAAGTCTTGAGTGGTGGTTCAGGTCCTTCGATGTTGACTGTCAACGTATCTAGACCAGATCCTGGTGCTCGAGGAACATCGACCGCGTCAATCGAATTGGTGTGATTGACAGATTTCACAACAGAATTTTGATCTACAGGTGTCGTACTGAGGCGATCAGCGTCAGACGCTGGAGTTGTTGGTGGTAGAGATATAGGACGATTTTGAGCCTGGACAGCTGATTGATCAGATGGCTTCGAGACTTGTTCATCCGATAAAGGTCTAAATTCGGTTACGGTCTGATATTTGAACTCTAGGTCTTCCTCAGTTTCATCTCCCGCATCTTGAGTTCTAGTGATCGTGCCAGAGGATTGACCATTAGAGCCACTTTGACCACTCCTACGCGTCTTGGTGGGTTCAGTTGAGACTTCTGATCCCTTTTTACGACGGAAGCTGTTGGTTCGGTTCCTTTTAGGAGGTGATTTGATTGGAACGTCATCTTCTTCCATTCGGTAAGATGACGAAGCCTTGGTCCAAGGTGATCGGTTTGATTTACCAAGAGGTATTTGATTGACTCCACGTGGAAAGGCTGATGGCGCTCGACGAGATTGATCAGATGATCGGGATGATGATTTGGGTGCAGGTTTGTTGATTGGTGGACCGACAGGGGTACTAGACTGAGTGGCGACAGTTGGAGAAGTTGAATTGGGACGTTGGTTGTCTTTGAGACGCTTGAATTTGGGTAGCTTGGGTAACGCACTCATCCCATTTGAATGCAAATTGAAAGTTAAGCCCATTTTGGGTTGATCGGATGGGTTTTGAGGCTCAGACTGTGTTGATGGTTTAGAACAGTCAAGCCTTTGAGAGGGTCCAGACTTGAGTTCGTGAGAATGAGTAGGAAGTGATCTGTTGAGGATCGTGTTGAGATGTCTGGGTTGAGTATGACGAGATGGAGCTGAATGATTTTGTCTATTGAGAGGGTTAAAGTTACGTGCTAAAGAAAGAAGGAGAGAATGAAGATGAGTCAAGTGAAGAAATCAGATCCGAGTTTTGGTTGAAAAGAGTACTTACGGTTTTTTGAATGATGATGTGACATCTTTTAATATCGCAGCGAGTTTAATCGATTAGTTTTGAGCCTAGAAGTTAAGTATCCTAAAGTAATGTAAGTTGATGGATTGGATAGATAAGTTTGATAAACTTTTTCGGATAGGCTATCTGAGATTGATGATTTTGAGTTTTGATTTGGAATGAGAATCAAAGTTGAATATTGATTGGATAAGAATGAAGATTGGGTTTAGAAGTGAAAGAAGAGAAGATATAGTGATCGATTTGATATTTTGAGATATGGAGTGTCACTGTTGGGTATTGAAATCTAAGTTGAATGAATCTTGAGAAGTTGAAGTTGAATGAAGTGATAGATTGATAGCATGTTACGATTAGATATAATAAAGTGATGATGATAAGTTGATTGTGAAGTCCAAAAGATAGAACCAGTAATGATCATGTTTTTGATCTGGATACTGCTTATTGGACTTGTGAATTGAGAAAATGAACAATCTGGATTGAAGCTTGCCAAGATATCTTGTGGTTCTAATTCGAAATCACCTTATTGATAGTCTCAAATATATTGAGGTGGGTCAGTCGACTTACAAGTTTGGTGCAAGGACTATGTACACCCTTTTTTAAGTCAGTATTCTTTTATGGTTAACAGTCGTACAGAAGTGATTGTACTAGAGCTGTATATATAGACTGTAATATGCTAGTAAAGGAGATAAAAAAATGAAATATTTTGGTTGATTGAAATCAGATGGTTTTGTTGATAATGGATTGGATGAAGAATTACCGCGATTTAATAATCGATTGGAATGATCGAGGATGGTAAAGAAGGTAAACAGGGTCTGATTCTCAATTTTTTAAAATCTTACACGTGAAAGATGTGGATTGATTTGGATCCTTGATTTGATGAGCATTTTGTATGCAGTCAAACTAATTTCAAATTCGAAAATCTCATTTTTCTTTCACTTGTTTCAGGGCTCTTATCTGTCAAATATCCATCCCCATGCCTCGTTGAAACAATTTTGTAAGTAGGAAAAATTCACCGCAAAAACCTTGAGTGTGGTCTAACGAAAGTTTTTCTTTCCGTTTCACTTGCCTTTCAGCAGGCTCGGCTATTTTCTCTGCTCTTGAAAATTTGACCCTCGAGGAACCTTGCCGCGGGTAAATCGCCGGTTGGTCTGTCGGCAAAAAATCTCCCTCGAACCGGGATCGAACCAGTGACCTAGAGATGCTTGTTTCAGACGATCAACCCGCGAAAGTTGTTTATCCCAATAGCCAATTACAGTCTCTCGCTCTTCCAACTGAGCTATCGAGGGCGGTGAGAAATTTGGAATCATTTGGCCTATCGATTTTATCGAGTTCGATTCGATTACGTTTTCACCTCAAAACCCTATTCTTCATAACGCGCCTCGCGTTTCTCAATCGATCGTCATTCCCATCCCTAACGAATCGCAAAGAAACAAAGAAAACAATGGTAAAACGGCCCTCAGAAGACGGTGCTCTGATTTCAAAACGAGCTAAAGCTGATGAAGAAAATCATCAACAATTGATCGTTAGTAGTGATGGATCTGGTAAAGGTCAATTAATTCAATCGGTTAAAAGGTAAGCTATCCATTCATTTTGATGATCACGTTGATGTCGATTTCACTAATGATGATATTCGTAAGTATATAGGACTAGTGGTCTTGCTGCTCCGATCATGGTCTTGAGTGGTCATACTGTCGGTCAGATTTTTTTTATCTTTTGATGATATCAACTTAATTAATCTAACCATCTTTTTTATTTATTTTCCATCGGTTTTTATAGGCAGAAGTTTTAGATGTTAAATTCGATTCAAGTGGTGATCATTTAGCTTCAGCTTCAGCTGATCGTACTATAAATCTTTGGTCAGTTTATGGAGAAGAGTGTAGAAATTATGGTTTATTAAAAGGTCCAAAAGGAGCGATCATGTCAATTGATTTTTCACCTATCAGACCACTTGAAAGACTTTATGCTGCTTCAGTTGATAGAACCGTTACTACATTTGATCTTCATACTGGTATACCTTCTCGAAGACATCGTGGTCATACTGGAATTGTCAATTCGATTAGTATCTCTTCTACTAGTAGTCGTGATTTGATTGCTTCTGGTTCGGATGATGGAACAGTTAAGATTTGGTGTGAAGACGAAAAAGATGCAGTTGATGAAGTTGAACTTAATTATCCAATCACAGCTGTTCAATGGTCTGCTGATGGTCAACAACTCTTTATTGGTGGAATTGATAATGATGTACATTGTTTTGATTTACGGAAGAAAGAAGTCTCTTGGAGTTTACGTGCTCATACTGATACCATCTCAGGTCTCAGGTTGAGTCCTGATGGTAGCTTTTTACTTAGCTCAGCCTTTGATGATACATTACGTATTGTAAGTTGATCGTTTGATGATACCCTTCCCATTGACCGTCAAGTTTGGGTGGACTGACAAGCGTTCTTGATATGTATTTTTAGTGGGACGTAAGGCCATTTGCTCCTGTCAACAACTTGAATGGACCGCATTATCCACCTCGACTCGTCAAAACCCTTCTGGGTGCGCCTTCTGGACATGACAATGTAAGAAAAGTCCGTGTGATTATCCAAAAATCATCTTACATCTGACTCAAACATAACCCATCCTGATCTTGAATAACTAGCAATTACGAACACCTTCATGGGATCCAAGTGGAGATAGAGTAGCAGTAGGAGCAGCTGATCGATCACTTACCATATGGCATGTGAACACTGGTAACATTCTATATAAGTTACCGGGCCATAAAGGAACCGTTACCTCTTGTGATTTTCATCCAAAAGAACCTATCATTGCAAGTGGAGGAGTAGATAGACAAGTGTTTCTTGGTGAACTTGATCCAATGGCTAGATAAGATTGGTTGCTTTGAATCAATTATAAAAAGTTTCAAGTATGCAATGTATTCATAGGAAATTTTGTCGATCTTCCAGATTCATACCAGAGGGGTTCTCTTCGGATAGATTATAACTCAGAAGTGACGGATGGAGGTTTAAAAAGCTTTCAATTTCAACTCGTGCAATTTTCTGTTTGGTGAATTGTCGAATCGTTTTCAAGTCCAAAACCCGTGGTCATGTCAAGTATCCTGACAATTTTGCATCTTGATACATACATCTTTCCCTCCTTGAAGATGAAATAATATTGGGGTTGATGGAGATTTGATCAATTTCACAGGAATTTTCAAACTGAGAAAGAGATTTGCAGGGTATGCGTATTCAGAAAAATCGCGTATGGAATTCAAGGTGTGGTTCAATATTGAAATCAGATGATCTGAATTGGTTGTGCCAATCATCATTGATATCTTCTTGCCAAGTTATCAAACAAGTTATAGAAGAAGAACCCATCAAACCAACGCATGGAGAGAATGACTGATGTTATTGCTATGGCACCTCTAAGCATCTAGACATCATTCTCTTTGCCTGCTCGGCTTCCTCGCAGTAGATATACGCTAGCTAAGGCAGTCGTCAGGGGCATTGACTTCGAGAGCTGATAAGCAACCATTTGCTTCAAATTATTGACTGCCGAAGTCACGAAGTCAGCATGACTGGGGATAAGGTCATCAACTGAGGGGCAACCTTCTTCAGCTGCGAAGTGTCTTTGGGTTGGAAAACAATTACAACCAGTACCGCCATGACTATTCCTTAGAATATGCAATGAGAATATATGTTTAAAAACATCCATAGAAAGGTGCCACAGTCCTAAACCTCATACACCTATCTCCCAGAGGAAGTAGCTCTAATTCCAACAAGGTAATGGACTTGGCTAGCCTTTACCCCATCTGAATGATGTTATCTAGGGGGAAGAATTCTACATCTATATTGCTCCGTGGTGCCTGCCCTGAGCATAGAAGATTGTATTTTATTGGTCAAAGGCAATCCTGTAAACATTTGAAATTCAGCTGGCAATATTTTACATTCTTCACATCGACCCATCTTCATTTCTTTGGTCCCCAACAGACTTTCAGAAGAATTTGGCAGTTTCAGCACCTGCGCCCATAGATTGACTCTTGGGACAATCGGACAATCTTCCACAACCGAGAAATGTAACAACTGCGAAGTGGGTACCCTCTGGGAGCTTGCATTGGTAATGTGTTTCTATTGCCATTGGTTCCAGTGAACATCCTTCTGGTCACCGGGTTTTATCAGATTTCGAGATGTCAGTTGAAACATCACTGCGCTTGATAAGAATTGAACAAATCTTTCAACATCAGACTCGCATACGGTTCTGAAGGTGGTACCAGACCAAGACTGCGTTTATCTAGGACGCGTTGCGGTAGGGAGTACTGCAAACCAGCTTCACTCGATTAAACATCCCCCTCCAAAGTGGTACAATTTGGGTGGCCAGTGAGGTTTTCATCATATTCAGCCCCGCCTCGCAGCGTGCAATTCAAGTTCCGAGACTATACAAACCAGTAAGGAATGCCCTCATTGAATGGCGATGAGATTGGTAGAACCTCACCAGTTCTCGAATGCCTATATATATTGGAGCATTATAATCTACACCTAGTCATCCCAGGAACTTTACTAGACTACATTCCATTCACCCTCATCACAATTTACCATTGGTCCCTGAAATTCTATATATTCACTTGTAGTTCATTTTTATCTGCATCTTTGAGATCTTCTACGACGAAAAATGTTGCTCCCGACAACTTTCATCTTGCTTGTCCTAGCTACGGCTCGAATCGCTGTATGTGCTCCCGTTGAAGACACTGTTAAATCAACAACGCTTCTGATCGGTTCAGACAATGGCCTTGAAAATCCGGTTCAGAAGGAAAAAGCGGCGAGTAGCGCAGCAGGCAATGTAGTTTCTACTCGCGGCGGTGGCTGCAAAGGATGCGCCTGTAGTCACGCACGTTCCAAACCTAAAGAAATCTACACCAAAATTGAAGGAAGTCCAGTAGATTCTGGCTCCAGTCAAGATGCAATTTCTGTAAACGCAGGTATGAAAAAGCAAGGTGATTTCTTGGTTCTTTCATTTGTCCTCTCTCCCACTTTGAATTTGATTTGTTTCGTTTTGATTGAGACAAAAATGATCACTCAAGGATTGCCACTGATTGATATGAATGGCTTCTTCACCAAAAAATTTCGAACAATAGTTGTAGTTCCAGGTCAAGATATACAATCTACACTTGAACCTGTAAAACCCCCACCAAGTCCAACTACACACAAGTCTACAACATCGCTATTGAGCCCAGAGGAATTGACAGCAAGCTTTAAGGAATTACATAAAGTCTGACTCTACTTGAGGTAAAAAGTTTAAAAACACAGTTGTGAAATATGCAAAGTGAAGTTTTGTTTCTTTCATTCAACCTTTCCTGCTTCGCTTTGATCAGCTTGTTCCCAGTCGAGACAAAATATGTTTACCCAAGTATTAACGCTGATGATATGAATTCCGTTGCCATATATTTTAAACAACAATTTTAGGATTTTTTGGTGAAGAAGCCATTCATATCAATCAGTGGCAATCCTTGAGTGATCATTTTTGTCTCAATCAAAACGAAACGAATCAAATTCAAAGTGGGAGAGAGGACAAATGAAAGAACCAAGAAATCACCTTGCTTTTTCATACCTGCGTTTACAGAAATTGCATCTTGACTGGAGCCAGAATCTACTGGACTTCCTTCAATTTTGGTGTAGATTCTGGCTCCGGTCAAGATGCAATTTCTGTACTTTTTACCTCAAGTAGAGTCAGACTCTATTTGAATTCCTTTAAGCTTGCTGTCAATTTCTTCTTGGCTCAATAGCGATGTCGTAGACTTGTGTGTAGTCGGACTTGGTGGGGGTTCTACAGCTTCAAGTGTAGATTGTATATCTTGACCTGGAACTACAAGAGCTATAAATGACTTATCAATGCGGAGGAGTGACTATGAATACGCGAAATTGTCAAAGAATGATGTTTCATGTGACATGGTTCTAGCTGCAATGTTTAAGTCAGCCCACACTACATTTGTCATTGTTTGTTTTGTTAGGATTCAGAAGCTTTTTCTTTCAGGCCAAAGGGTGTGGGCGATTGAAAATTCATGACAGTTCTTTGGAGATTGAGTTTGAAAAGCTCATTGTGATCTCAATGTGCAGCCAAAAGTGTTTTAACATGCCCTGATAAGTCTAGAACATGTGTTGGCACTCTGATGAAAACTTTTAAAGTGAGAAAGTGAGTACCTAGAGCTGTAGGGTATGTATTCACCACAACTAAAATCAGATGGATCTGAAGTGCTTGTGCAAATTATCATAAATATTTTCTCTCAAAAATAATAAGCAAGTCATAGAGGAAGCTATGATACCTCAGGCTCAAAATCCACGCACCTATACCTATATCTATCTCAGTAACCACTGTCGATTTCAAGCTTGATCTAGGTTTTGCCGCCATCGGGCAAATTGGCGCTACAACTTTGGCAAGCTTTTTGGCATAGACATTATCTTGGCTTCCTCCGCTTCCTCGATGTAGATACACGCTAGCTGTGCCAATTCAAACGCGGCTGAAATCCTCTGCGGCTTTGAGTGGATCCCAGCCGCGCCTCGATAGGACTCAGCCATGTCATCAACTGCGCTGTCTGACCTTCATATTGGCTATTGGAAACATCTCATAACTAAGAAACGTAAGAAGTTCAAAGTCGATAGACTACAAGAGCCTTTATCTTGCCTTGATCATGATCTGATCCTCTTCAAGGTTTCAGTGAACACGTTTCTGGTCAACAGCTGTAACCAGATCTCAAAAACGTGACTATTCAGTCAACAATCAGGCTGTTCTCGGCTGTGTGATGTCGGCGGACAAACTCACTACGCCTGATAAGGACTAAACAGCCCTGACAAAAGTAGATTCACATACTATGAAGGAGTCCATTTCAAGAATGTGTCCATCCAAGACCTGCTGGGTTAGGAGTCATCGCAAGAATGACTCCACCTGGGACACATCGTCTCCCACGAGGTTAAAACCTGGCTGTACAATGAGAGTCTGAGGTTTGCATCAATGATCATACCCGGCATTGCCACTTGAAGAATGTATGGAGCAGGAAATGTTGCATTTCTAATAAGCACAGCCCTCATTGGGTCACAATACATTGGCAATCATATTTGGAGAACCGCAACAGCTCACAAATGCCTATATATATTGTTGTCATGTTCACAATTTTTGCCTGCTCAGCCCAGGAAATCTTACCCCATCCCATTTACCCTCAACACATTTTACCCTTTGTCCCAAAGAGTTTACCTTCAATCATAGCTTTTGTTTAGATATTTGATATTTTCAATGACAAAAATGCTACTTCCATCCACTTTTGTCTTGCTTGTACTAGCTAAAGGTCAGATTGCTGTATGTGCCCCCACTGAAGGCCCTGTTCAAACAGCAAAGGTTTTGATCACTTCAGATGATGACCTCAAGAGCACATTGATTCAGAAGGAAAAAGTATCAAGAAACATGGCAGGTGATGGAGTTCCTACCAAAAGCTGTAGCTGCAATGGACACATCTGTAGTCTTGCAAATCACGCCCCTGCTACACCCAAGTCCGCAACATTGCCATTTAACCTGGATGAAGTCTGGGCCAAACTTCTAAATATTTCAATAGACCACGATTTCACTGGAGGTGCAATTGCAACCAAAGCAGCCACAGGAAAGAAAGGTGAAGTTTCTATTCTTTCATTTAAACTCTGTCCAGCTTTGATTTTATCAGTTTCTCAAAAAAATTATAATCAAGGAACACCACTCATGATATGAATTGCCTCATTACAAAAATCCCAAAACAAATGCAACATCTATAACCAAAGGTCCTCCTCCAACTCCCAAAACTGCCCCTCAGACCCCTACATCTAAGCCAGTGCTTTATGTCCCAAAGAAAATGCTTGATACCATTTGTGCAGATCCTGGCTCCCCTAAGAATGTGATTTCTATGGACACAGTTCCAGATTATCCAGGTGAAGTTTTGTTTCTTTCATTTGTCCATTTCCTTTGAGTTGATCAAGTTCTTTCCCATCAAGCCAATATGATCATCAACACTAATGGTATGAATGCATTCCCAAAAACTTTGAATAATAATTTCAGTTCCAAAAATGTCAGTCTCTGAAGATTCCAGTAACACAGAGATAGTAATTCACAAGTAATAGTATGAAACAAGTGATCAACTCACAGAAGGTTATGGTCTTGATGAGGATTGGATATGAGCAAAGGGTTGCACAAGATTGCAACATGAGGGAGAAGCATTCAATGTGCTTCTCCCAGTACACTGATATGTGGGAATACATGTATAAGCATAGTGGCTCACTACTAGGCTCTTGACAAAGAAGTGACAGCATGGATTGAAAAAAATCTTGAAGAATGATTTTGAATGGGAGATATGTAACCAGGTTTGATCTTTGATGTAACCCACAATAATTTTAGAATATTTTGTTTGTCAGAATTAAGAAACTTTTTATTTTAGGCTAGGGGTGATTTTGAATTCATGTTGGTTTTTTGTAAATTTGTTTCAAGACTTTGATTGTTGGTGTCTTGAACAGCAAAGAAAAGTGTTTTGTAAGCCCATATTGAAAATATGTCCTGGCACCCTGATGAGAAGCATTAGTCTCTGTAAAAGAGTTTGGAATCTGAGGAATATCAAATCTATCAAAATACCAACACGAATGCATCAAATTCAAAAACAAAAGTTGTGATTGAATGTGATCTCCTTTGATATGGTGTCCAAGCAGTTGATACAGGGGCCAAGGCTTTCTCCAAGGCCTGAGATTCAGGGGGACATACATGATAAATTGCTCTTGTGCCATGTGATGGTTTTCTGACTTGCAATTGGATCCCTGTGTCATGGTGATATGATCTTCATTTCAATGTAGCCACTGATGTGTAAGCCATGCAGAAAACTCTGATTGTATCACAGAATGTGTCCTGGCTCCCTACTTTCTCTACAGAGCAATGCTAGATGTTGTTCTATGGGGTGCTGGTGGTGGCCATATTTCAGCTCTACACAGCTCACCCTCATACCAAGGCAACCTGATTGTAACAAGCTTTTCAATGTATCAGATCATAGCACAGTGGGTTCTTGCCAGCATATCATTCTGATGGATATCAGCTTCTCCCAAATCATGCTGAAGACCCTTGTACAAGCTGCCCTATCTAGCAATGATTTGTTCTGGTCCTGTCAGCCCACCCAGGGAATAGAGGCCAGTTGTAGTGATCTGGCTTATTCTTTAAGAAAACAGAACCCCTTGATAACTGAATCCAAAATATCTCCTAGATAATAACTTAAGCTCTGAAGGTTTCTTTTCCTAAAAGAAAACAATGATGATGATCTTATGATTACGAAAAACTCGATGAGAGAGAAAGAAAACTCCATACAACATGAACGAGAGATTCGTATAAATAGTAAAACAATTTAAGATAACATAATCTAATGATTTATAAGCTCTTCACATACTACGATGATCATAATGAAAAATAACGTTTAAAGATCACAATATGGCGTAGTAAGATGACATAAACCTATTTTAGCGAAATTTGCTGCAAAGGAACCCAACTGTTGTTGATGCCTACATCATCAGTTTGCAACAAGTATTCTTGACCCGTTGAGGCAATCCTATGACCCAATATCACCTGAACCGATAACCATCTTGCTACATAACAAGCATCCACTAAAGAATCCCCCTGTTCGGCAACAGGTTGCTCAAAAGAAGCATTATCAGTTTGAGACTGCGTATCTCCCAATACCGGCATAAGTAGAGAAACGTTAAAAACAGGATGAAGTCTTGCATACTCCGGTGGTAACACCAATTCCACTGTGTTCTTGCCTACCATTCGTTTGACGGTGAAAGGACCTATCCGCCGAAAATCCAATTTCTGCGAAGGCCGCCTTGTCTTGATAAACTTTCTTGACAGCCACACCAGATCGCCCGGCTGATAAGTCACCAATACTCTTTTGTCGTTGTCGTAATATCGTGACTGACGTTCCTTTGCCGCTGAAAGTTGTTTTTCGAGCTTTGACTGAATATCCTGAATGTGACGAATGAACTCATTTGCATGCGGTACACTAGAAGCGTGTGTAAGTGAATTAAACCTAGGATGAAAACCAGAACAAGCAAAGAAGGGCGAAAATCCCGTTGACGCTGATACCGTGTTGTTATTTGCAAATTCTGCTAACGGGAGCCATCTTGACCAATCATCCTGCTTGTCACTAACAAAATGACACAAGTAGTCCTCCAACACTGCGTTCAATCATTCAACCTGGCCATCCGTCTGGGGGTGAAAGGCTGTAGAAGGCGCTGGGGAGATGTTCAATAATTTGCATACCGCGGTCCAAAAGGTGCTCATAAAGATAGAACCTCTATCCGAAACTATCTTGTCCGGCAGGCTGTGCAATCTAAAAAAATTGTCAACAAATGCGTGAGCCAAATCCACAGCACTCCATTTTTCCCGAGCGCGAATAAAGTGCGTCGACTTTGAATAATGATCCACTATTACCATAACTGAATTGTATCCGTCTGACACAGGTAGCTTCACAATGAAATCCACCCCAATTGTGGACCAAGGCTTATCCGGAATCACCAACGGCATCATAGGACCTTGCCTGGCCCTCAAATCTCGATTCACTCGCTGGCAGCTATGACAGAGCCGAACAAATTCCAGTATGTCAAATCGCATACCCTTCCATCCAAAGGAACGCCCTAGCAAATCGACCGTCTTTGCGACCCCCCAATGACCTGAGAGAGGTTTCGCGTGGTATGACGACAAAACACCTGGTCTTACTGCAAAGGGAACAAAAACACGACCTTTGTACCACCATAAGTCATCAATCCAACGCAAACCTTCCGTTGCAGCGTTGCGGACCGTCACATCCCCACCATATGAAGACCGAATCTGATTTAAAACTTCATCAGTCGGACGCGCGAAAGCGAAATCGAACTGCACCCCGTCCCCAGGAATCTGAATAGCATCTACCGGCGTCCCTTCAATGGATTTGAATAAAACCAAGGCAGCAGGTGGAGAAGTGTTCACAAAATCAGGTCGACGTGATGCTGGATCGGCCGGATTCAATGTACCTGGAGTGTGCAAAATGACAAAGTTAAAGGAAGATAAGAAAGCTGCCCATCAAGACTGCCGTGGTGTTAAAGAACGACCCTCCATAAAGTAGCGTAAATTCGAATGATCTGAAAAGACAACTATTTGTTCATTAGCACCCATCAACCAAGAACGCCATTCCTTAAACGCCGCCACGATGGCACCCAGCTCCTGATCGTGCGTCTGCCAACGCGTCTCAGCCGGCGTCAGTTTCTTTGAGTAATAGCATACTGGCACTAATTTACCCTTATCACCTGGCTGCGAAAGGATTGCCGAAAACGCATACGCACTAGCGTCTACCTGTAGCACTCGCTTCGCTTCGAAGTCAAAATGCTTCAAAAATGGAGCCGTGGTGAAAGCTTCAACAAGGGAAGAAAAGGCCCTTCGTGTTCCGTGATCCGCCAAACCAAAAGCGACATCTGCGTCCTTCTTGGTCAAATCAGTCAACCGCGCCACTTCCGCCGAGAAACTTGGGATAAAACGCCTGTAAAAGTTAGTAAACCCAAGAAAACGGCGCAGTTCCGCGATGTCCTTTGGGTAAGGCCAATCTTTAATGGTCGCTAACTTTGCAGGGTCCATCCGAAGACCTGTGGTAGAAATGACAAAACCGAGAAATACAACCTGTTCTTTGAAGAATTCGCACTTCAACGGAGAAGCTTGCAAGTGATGTTCTCGTAATTTCATCAGAACCTTGCGAATGTGGTCCTCGTGAGACTCGTTGTCTTTCGAAAAAATCAGGATGTCATCTAAATAAACGAAACAAAAGACATCCAAATATCCATGCAACACATCTTGGATAAAGCGCTGGAAAACTGCCAGACCGTTAGCCAAACCAAACGGCAATACCAAACTCTTGTACAAACCTCCCGGCGCTCGAAAGGCCGTCTTCCACTCATGACCACGAGCAATTCGCAATAAGTTGAAAGCTGCCTTCAAGTCAATTTTGGCAAATCTCTTACAACCTCGTATACGACTCAGCAAAGACTTGACCAAAGGGATTGGGTAGCTGTCTTGCACAGTGATCTTGTTCAAACCTCGGTAGTCGATGCATGGGCGATTCTTACGTCCCTGAGCTTTGGCAAGAAATGCTGGAGCAGAAGCGGGAGATGAAGACAGCCGGATGAAACCTTTCTTGAGTTGATCATCCACCCAAGCCTTCAGCTCGGCTTCGTCTGACGCGGAAAGGTCATAGGCTCGGCTTGTAGGTGGCTCACAACCCTCACGCAGATTGATCTCAACGTCATGCTTGCGATGGGGAGGAAGGGAAGTCTGCTGAGGCAAAAAGACATCAGAAAATTCGTGAAACCTGCCAGGAATGAACTTCTTGATTTCTTCTAAGTCCTCAACCGATGACAAATTGAGCTGCCTGTCCGTACAAAGTGAATCTGAATCTGAAAAAGAGGAATCTATATCACAAAAAACTGCCAATGAGCCGACTTCTACACCTCTACCTTCAGCGCTACAATGAATGATGGCCTTGTGAGCATCCAACCACGGTAAACCTAAGATCACGTCATAACATCCTATGTTGTTCACCTTCAAGTCAAAATCCAAATCGTTTGAATTTTCTTCACCATTAGTCAGCTGACCCACACCCAACCAGGAATGAGTTACGAGTTCTCCTCCTGGAGTCCCATTGAAACCCGAACAAGTCATAGGAGCAGGTAAAGTGTTAGTGATCAATTTATACTTCTGAACAACATTTTTGTGAACAAAAGACTCCATCGCGCCTGTATCAATCAAGGCTCACACTAAAACAGACGAGCTGCCAAGTACAAGCCGCAAACCCACACAAAACCTGGCAGGAAAAGAGGGAACAGGACGGATTCGCAACGTGCTTACACTAGGTTCCTCATCCATAGCGTTGAGATCATGCTCCCAAGCTAAGTATTCGGCTGACATGCTATCCAAAGCTTCACCATGCTCCCTCCCGACTGACGCCAACCATTGAGCTTCTACCGCCACTGGTTGAACAGGAATGGTGACGGCCAAAGAAGAGGCGACCGCAGAAGCAGTCACTGGATGAACTGAAACGGGCGCCGCAGTCGGGTTTTGACGAGCATTGATGTTAGTCGGATTGTGCAAACGAAGGAAAGCGAGCATTTCTTGAGCTGAAGCCGGTTGGTTTGGGCAGAAAGGTTGGTTCGGCTGATTGTGACGAGGGCACTTAGGACCCAAACAAGTGAAGCACAAATGTTTGCCCCAACAAACCCGTCGTACCGCGGACTTGAGCGCCGGAGAAGCCTCACCCGCCGCAGTGATTGCATCAATCTGCATTGCATTCGGATCGATTGGCACGCGCACATGAGGTGTGACGGGAGGTCGAATGTTAAGAGGGGGAAGCGGCAGATTGAATTTCGAACCTCTAGTGCTGAAGGGGTGACCGGGTGGTAAGGACGCGTAACGTTGCGCCATCGCCACTGCTTCATTTGCCAAAGCCATTCGTTCGTCCAAATCATGAGTATGAGCCCACTCCCGAAAACCAATCGCAGCTCCAAGAATGGCTGGGGCGATATTGGTCTCGTAAATGTCCATCTGAGAGTCGAGGCTGAGGCTGGTGTGAGCTGCCATGGTTCTGAAACGGGCGTTGAACTCTAACAAATCAGTTGAACCCTGTTTGCAATTCTTCAAGGCATCATTAGCGACTTGAACAGAATTGACGTCACAGAAGTTTGCAATCATGGTGTTAAAGAAATTGTCAAGGGAAGCCAACTGGGGTAGGTCATAACGGAAACTTTTCAAGTCGGCGTACTCGCTCCATACTCCCAAACGCTGTGCGTTAGAAGCAAGTAGACCGTTAAACCAACTGTGGGCGGCAGAGTCGTAAGTGAAACCCCTAGCATCTCTAGATCGGAAATGACGAGCTACCCAATTAATAGCTTGGGTGTTGTCAGCAAAGCAATTGGCCGAGTTTCTAACGGCATCTCTTATTTCTTGCAAAAAGTGACGCAGATCAGCTGGTTGACCCGAAAAAAAAGATGTCAGTCATGATGGGCGGCTCCGTATTGGTTGAAGCCGGAACTGGAACTGGCACAGCAGCTTGTTGGACTGCTTGAGCGGGAGGAGCAGGAGGTGGTGGTGGTGGCGCTTGATGAGGTGGCGTTTGGTGACCTTGAGCAGGAGGTTGTACGTGTTGTTGCTGCGCTTGGACGTGAGGTTGTGGTGCCACGTAAGCTTGGTAGGGCGGAGCAGGTACAGCTGGAGTTCCCTGACGGAAACGAGGTTGAGGTTGGGGAATCGGCGAAGTTGTATACATTGGTTGCACGACTGGGGGAGGCGTCTGCCGAGCAGCTTGGGGAACACGAGGAGCATGAAGATGAGCGAAAGGCTCTGCATAAACTTGCTGCATACCGGCAGGCATCGGAAAACCTAGGTTTGGAGCAGGCCTGTTATACAAATTAGCACCCATGCGAGCTTGATACGGACCGTGAGCAGGCGGATTAGGTTGAGTTGGAGATATGACTGAAAGGTAGTTCAAACGATTCGTGATCTCGTCAATCTGTGATGGGGCTACCAAGTTTCGAGTTAGTCTTTCAAAAGTGTTCTCAAAGCGCTCCTCCATACGACGCATGCAAGCATCTAAATCTTGTTGAGTAACCACACTGGAAGCTGTCCCATTGTCCGAAACCACTGAAGTCGTCGAAAATGATGCACGAGGTTCACGCATATGCGCGGCTGGCGACCCGCGTGGAGTAGCTTCTTCCATAAGAATACTAGCCGTGGGTGAACTGCGAGCATTAGGGTCTGACATTCCTTGGTCGGCGTTGGAAATTTTGGTAGAGTTGGATCCGCTCATTTACTATCCTAAAAGAACCAAATTGAAAAAAATTTAAAAGATAAATAATAAAATGAAAAAGGGAAGTTTTAAAGATTTTTAAAGAAAAAGATGAGTAACAGGTCTTTCAATAACTTTTATTGAAGTGGAAGGAAAGTTGACTAGTTTTGATAACTGATGATAACCAAAGCTTTATAGCTTACAAAGCTTACTAGCTTAACACTGCCCCTGGGCGAATTTTGTTCAATTTCGAGCGAGCTTCTACTTTTTAGAATCGACGAAAGAAATGATGAAAGATTGAGTTTTAATGTAGTGATCTGGCTTATTCTTTAAGAAAACAGAACCCCTTGATAACTGAATCCAAAATATCTCCTAGATAATAACTTAAGCTCTGAAGGTTTCTTTTCCTAAAAGAAAACAATGATGATGATCTTATGATTACGAAAAACTCGATGAGAGAGAAAGAAAACTCCATACAACATGAACAAGAGATTTGTATAAATAGTAAAACAATTTAAGATAACATAATCTAATGATTTATAAGCTCTTCACATACTACGATGATCATAATGAAAAATAACGTTTAAAGATCACAATATGGCGTAGTAAGATGACATAAACCTATTTTATCTTATGCACTTAAGAAAGAAACGCGTGATGCCCATGACAACTCTTCATTCATTACACCAGTCACCAGCTGGTGTGTGCAGCTGACTACAGTCAAACCTGTGCAAATGCATAATTTGGGTGGACGAGTTTTTCTATGCAATTTGACCGTTCATTCATTTGCACAGGTTTTCTGTTAATGCATAACTTTATGCATTATGGTCATAGTGCATAAAAATATGCATTATGACCACGCTCAACAAAACCAAAAAAGTTATCTGTATGTATTGGGTCTTTCAAAGGAGGCAACAAGTGCGGCGTGTATTGTAGATGCGTACAATGATCCTTAAAAATCAAGTTCAGGAAGTTCTATGAGATGTACAAATGTACAGCTTGCTCATTTGACAAATTTTTGTCTCCCAAATCGCAGGAAGCCCCAGGGCCGGCCCCGGGGCTTTATGCATTATGACCACCAACATATGGATTTTTCTGCCAAAAGGCTATTCAGTATTATATTATGCATTAATCTGAATTTTGGCCCGCACCAGCTTGGTGGAACCCAAGCCTTATGCAAAATGGCCAATTATGCATCTGCACAGGTATGCATTTGCACAGGTTTGACTGTACTGCTGTTGCACAGTACCCAAGTCCAGGGGGACACAGGGTCACCATGGGAACCAAGAACACAACCAATAATGCCCAGGGCCAAGGGTACCAAGCATGGTTTACATTTCCAGTGCTAACAGCAGGGTGCCAGTCATTCTGATCATCTTGGAGATGAGCAGCAATACATAGGACAGACCATGCCAACACCCAAAGTTTGCTGCCACGGGGCGGGCTGAATTCTGTTTTGCCCATCTTCATGTCTGAGGTATCAAGAACACCGCTCCAGTTAAATAGGCATTGATCAAATGTTCTGACGACTCGGAAAACCCTGATGAATGTAATTTTGAATTGGGAGATGATTTATGAAATAATTATCAGGGGATATAAGGCTTGTGCCATTGTTTTTTTGGTGAGATGCAAAGAAATGAAGTATGAACAAAGCACAAACTGAACACAGATTAAAAGAGTAGAGAATTTCATCAGATTCCCAACCAGTTTACTACATAGTAGATCAATTCATTAAGATGCCAATTTTCATCAATCGGAACCTTGTACTACTCCGACTTGAGCAGGTCGTAAGACTCGATCTCGGAGCATCCATCCGACCTGAGGTTCAAGTTTGGTCAATAAAAGCCAAGTCTAGTCAGTACGGTCATATTTAGAAGACTGTACTGATGTGCTATTCTTACTTTTGAGCAACTGAGGACCGAATTGGGATCTTTGCCTGGCACAGGGGCCTGGAACATCGCCTCATGTTTGTTGGGGTCAAATTTTTCACCAGTCGGATCGAATGGGGTGACACCGAAACGGGAAAGAGTTTTTTCGAGCAATGTTTTTGTACTGCTCACGCCGGTCCAAAGATCTGCAAGGTGTTTACGGCTATCAGTCTGATTCGACGACGTGCCTGCTTCCTCTGAGCCAGGTTGTTTTCGGAAATCTTCGGGGACGGAGTCAAGAGCGAGTTTGAGAACATCGATGTTTGAAACTAGATCTTTTGCGAAAGATTGAATAGCGTAATCCTTGGCTTGAGATTTCTCTCGTGTACTGATCTTTTGTAGATTTTCATAATCGGCTCGAGCACGGATATATAGATCCTTGAAAGATGAAAGATTTAATCAGCAACAAGCCCACACCGCAAGGAAGATGGATCATGTGTCCAATATAGATCGCAGCTAAAATACCTACTTTGTACTCTGCAATTTGAGCGTCTTTCTTGGCCAGCTGCTCATCCGATTTAGGCTGAGATGCCTCGGGGTTAGATGTTGTTGTGTTTTCTGAAGCGGGAAGGGGAGTTTCTGATGCATTTTGAGATTCACCGGTTGTCGAAGAGTTGAGGCGATATGAGTGCAACTGCTGGGGTGTCAAAATTCGGCAGGGTCGAGGTCTAGTGAAGAGCTGAAGAGAGCGAGTTGACCGAAAAGCGGAAGCCATTTTATGAATTTGTATTCGAGCAGAGAAGGATATCGTGGTTAGTATCTGAGTTGAGGGAAAATTGCTGTTTGCTTAAAAACCGGGAGCAATCGAAAGGGCAAACAAAATAAATGAAACCCTGACATGACCCTACTTCAACATCCGACCCGCTCAGATCGGGTTATTGGTGCCCTGGTATTTGCTTGTGACAGATGAGGCTGTATCTGTAACAGTGAACGTGATATGTGTAGCAGAGCGCTGAGCAGTGAGCCTGCAGAGCGTTTCGTTATTTGTTGATTCAAGCTCAAAATCTTGCCACCCTCACAGACATTCGTTGATATTCGTCGTCCAAACTACGCTTGTTATATGGAGTTGTAACAGAGTCGCTTACCCACCACAGCTTGCTTTTGTGCCGCTAGTGCGTTCTTAAGCGCTCGATCAGCTCCGAAAGCTCCGCCGTGAATGTTCAAGGGGCAAATATCGGCTGTGGCGAGGTCGGTCAGCGTGGAGGCAGTTTTTCAATGGCAGAGACCTTGGTGGAGAATGTAGAGGAAGAAAGCCATCGATCGGTCTATCATCGGTCAAGACCATATCCAGCACCCGCCCAAGCTCGAGATTTATGGTATAGAAATATCACATTTCTGGCCTGCTGCACTCCAATAGAGATCACGAAGAAAACACCTCACTTTGAGACAGGTCTGGGTTTGTTGAGTTCCTTTTTACATACTTCCAAGGATGCTGACCATGGATAATTCAGACCTCCAATCTCGTTTGACATTCGTTTAATAAGAGCTCCTTTCCACCCACGAAGTACTCTACATATCTCTTGTCTCTAACTTTGCTCTCGGCACCGTTCTGAGTCCTGACCATGTACCGCTCTCCTGTCGCCTTCAAGGGCTTCGGCGTCTGGACAAACTCGATTACGTATTCCTTTTTGCAAGTCTATCTCAATATACCCAGACCAGTTGCCTTACAAACTCAGTTTCGGTATACATCCATAGCAATTGTGTTGGGGGTATACCTCATGACCTGCCTAAACACCTTGTGAGATCAAGGGCAAACATCGCAAATCATATTTCATGGGAAGTAAGTTTTCTAACGATCAGATCCTCCTTTTCCCGCTTGTTGCGGATAGGAATAGCCTTGCTTTCTATCAATTGTCAGCCATCCCCTTTTTCAGGAAGATAACCTTGTAGCGCCTTTGGCTAGGTTTCGCTCTTCCCCTCGAACCTCTGTTAGCTTTGATCAGGGTATAAGATTTACAGCAACAATCGATAGGGGGCTTGTGCTTCCATGAGATTCAGGCTCTCATCATCCACATAAATTGATCGCTTTCTTGAAGTAGCCGCATCATCAACAAATAATCCACTCACCACTCAACCATTCTGTGAAAGCACACGACTGTTTGCCCAATAAATCACATCACTACTGAGACCAATTAACTCAGGTAGCTTACAAAAGTGTAACAAAAGGGTTGCCCTTTAAATTTGGGTAAGTACTTGCGCCCTCATTCCCATTTAGTAACCAAGTTGCATGCTCCGAGCTCTCTCTCAATTCATAATATTCACCATCGCAAATTGACTGGAGAAATTCCACTCCTTCTCACAAGACACAGCCATCTGCACCACATTACCAGACCCACTCAATCGTTTCGCATCGACTCGTCCCTACATGTCATTCCTCTTCAAGCTCCCCGACCTCTTTGGAGATGTGCTTGTTCTATCCTCTAAGAGCATTGTACCTGTTTGTTGGTCTTATGTCATTTTTAGATTGGTACTTTTGGGCTATCCATTGGATATTCTACCTTTTCTGGCACAAGCTCTTCGGATTCCCTTGGCTGTACCGTTGGCTCTTCGCATTATCAACGCCTTTGAAACATACCCCCGGCGCCCTTTGGCCACCGATCCTTGGTTCATAGCCGGCAGCATTGAAGTCATTTTTTCCCTCTATCAGTGTTACTTGTATAAGCGCATTCAAGCCTATGTCCCGGGTGAACGTCACTCTCGAGAATTTCTGCGGGAGCTCATCAAGAGGATCAATGGAGTCGGGCTACGAGGCGGCCTACCGACAATAGCCCCTGAGGCTACACCGACTGTGAAATACCGAAAATTCACCAAAGAGACCTCACTCCTTAATCCGCATTATGCCGAAGAGCCCCAAGAGCCCGGAAAATTAGTCCCACCCAGTGTTCATTTCCCAGAGACGCCGCTCAGCTCCCATGACCCTGAAGCAATTTCATTCAGGGAATATCAATCTCTATGGTTCGAAGGCGCTCACTGGAGCGAAATCTACCACGATAACTATCTAGAATGGCTGGCTGGCGCGACCTGCAATATGTCTCTTCAAGAAGTTGCGGACGATGACAGAAAATCTGCGGCGATGGGAGTGGAACCGAATGAATTACGGATGCCATTCCTGAAGGAGCTTGTGAGTTACTTTGAACACCGGGCCGGTCGTCAATTCCCTCCAGGATATAATGTCAAGTTGAAAAACAAAGTGATCAAGTCATCTATCGATCCTATCAAAACGAAGATCCGCCCTTTGCTGTTTTATATGTTAGCTTACGCTACCGGAGAAGCAACTCGAAGTATGACTTATCTCAACGGATTCAGGCATGAAAGATGTGTCGGCCAAAAGTTTAGGTATTTGATTCGAATCCCTGAGGGTTGGGCCAGTCAGCCCGTTGAACGTCGGGAAAAGCCAGTGATCTTTGTGCATGGTGTAGGGTTTGGTAAACTTTCGTCCTTTCTCATCGAGAATCCTAACTTGCCAAGTTTGATATCTGATGGAGCATGATTATTTGTTCCTCAGGTTTGATTCAATACATCAGCCTGGTAGCATATCTAACCTATTCAAGTTATGGTCGCGAACGTCCAGTGGTAATCTTACTCCAGCCTTCAATCTCGTCAGTAACCTAATGACTCGATTTATATGATCCGTGTATTTTACTTCTTCGCATATACTCACTGTACGACTTGCAATACATGTCTTCAGAATGGAAATATTTGATAAATCGTTCCTGGACCCCCCTTGTCAAGCTGAAGTTGCTCGAGATGTGGAGGAGATTATGGAAAAGTGGAAGTTCAAGGAGACTGGCATCGATTTACTTTCGCATTCGAACGGAACGGTCATTGCGGGTTGGGTTATCAAGGCTTTCCCACAGCTTGTGAACAAGTGTTGTTTCATTGATCCAATATGCTTTGGTGGGTGTACATGCGTAGTTTACTTTCCTCTTACATTGGAATCTTGATATCATAAAGAACCCCGAGGAGTGGGTCAATAGTCGACGACGGGGTACTTACTGATATTGTTCAATTTTACTCCGCTCTTATGCTTCCTCGGATTCATCATCAACCGACATGCTTTAACTTAACTCAGCTCTCTGGTGAGCTAACTCCTCACCCTCTATCTACTTAGCCTTTATAAGATGCTTTGAATCTAACATCTCTTCCTCAACCGGATGCCTTTCGACAGGGAGCCTTACATTTGCTACAAGTCAGTCTTCCCCTTGCACATCTATAGATCACCTGAACTGCGCTTGATGCCAAGCGATTTTTGATACATTTCCAAAATAGCTTCTTGTACTCAAAGCCGAGGACTGGTATTGAAAATGTGATGCGATACAGTCTGGCCACGGAAATCGGGATCGCCAAATACACACATAGTCATTTAGATTGGTGCGCTGCAGTTCTATGGCCACATGAAACACCCGGGTTTCTTGATCCCAAAAGGTTCTTGGTTGTCCTCTCCGGTCGTGATCCAATAGTAAATGCAGAAAGAGTCAGAAAATATCTGTTGAGTGAAGGCATGAAAGATGCATTTCCCGCAGACAACGCCAGTCAAAAGGTGTGCTTTTACCTTTTGTTGAATTCATCCACACTGTTTCTCATCTTCTGGCTTTGAATCTCCAAATAATCGAAATCAAACCCTACAGGGAGCAGTGCAGGGTGTCACGAAAGACGAAGCCGAGAAAAATGGATTCGGAGGGATACTTACAGATTGGGAGGCTGGTCATGGTCAAACTTTTATGCCCGACAGTCCTTATTTTCCGATCATAAAGAATTGGCTGGAAGGAAAAGGTTGTAAATCTTGATTCTGACAGGATACAGATTTGTTTGCTTCATAGATGGTGTTTAGTTGTAATATTTCATGGGTTCGAATAAGCCCAATGTGACAAAAAATAGAAGACTGCCAATGAAATGCTGGATAATTGATGGGGTGTCCCTCGCACTATGATATCCTTGAATCGGTGCCTCTTCATACGGTCTATTTTGAATGTTATCTTCTTGTAAATTCGTCGGTTTTCTCCACAAGCACACATCTCAAATATCCATGGTTCAAAACCAAGAAAAGACAATTGAGGAAGCAATGCAATGCATGCATGTAATTAGTACTTAATGGTTCAACTCATACACTGCATTTGAAAGTATGTCCTGTTCTCCTTCAATACATATCACATTTCAGAGATGGGATCAATGTATCAATATGATATTGCGCCGACCACCATCAGGATGGCAACAAAGGGCAACAAGGTATTCTATGATTTGGGTAAGGTTTGATAAACTACCGCGTTTCACTTGACAGAAGCAGCACTTTCAGCAAAGTATTGTTAGGTCACATAGTTGGGCAATTACGTACGAGAAGGTTTCGTATTTCCGATGTTAATTGGCTTGCGGGTGCTGTTAGGTGCTGTTATCTTGTATCAGATTTGAAAACAAGAAACAGTCTCGGGGAGATTTTCACAACCCCCATAGAACACCCCTTCCGTTCTCTGACATGGCATTGACATATATGCTAGACAAGTGGTTTGCAAATTGCAAGTCATATCAGCCCAGAAGTCCGTGACCAGCTATACAATGTTATCTTGTCAGCATCTATCGCTGACAAGCTTGTTCTGATTTACAACCTTCTTTGGTGTATGCATATTTAGGTGCACAAGTGACCAAAGGGACATACAATAGTACACATCATCTTACAACACTCGTGAGGACAGAAACGCTGCGCATCGCCACTACTAATTTTTGTGGTTTACCAATGGTAAGACAGGGTAGCATATCATTCACCAGTGAACCGTGGCTTTCGCTTCTCGTTGAAGGCGCTTAAACCTTCTAACCGGTCCTTGCTGCGTAACACAGTTTCATAACATTGTCGCTCAAAATCAAGCCCTGTTTGACTAAGTATTCTCAAGTATTCATGAAGACGAATCAGGATACGCTTAGAGTCTCGTTGGCCAAGGAGTAATCTGAAAGAGAGCTCACAGATCAACTTCAATGCTACGATTGATGGACAGCTTTGCGGCCTGTATCGCAACTGGACCTGCAAATAAATTTATAGATATTGAGATGTGGCTGTAACAGATATAACATCAGAATCGTATTCACCATTGGGTAAGATGCCTTGAGCAACTTTGATAGCAAGCTCAGTAGCAGACATGCCGCCTTCTGAAATATAATCGACTAAGCCTATGATCTATCAGACATCAGCTTTTCGGCGAAAACAGGGAGTTATAGATCGAGGGGAAATAGCAAACCCATATGATATGCCTGTTGCGCATTTAGCATCTTTGCCCCAAATATCAAGTCCTTAGCCTTTGAGAGGCCGAGTAACCGCGAGACGCGTTGGGTACCGCCGGCTCTGTCAGAAGAATTTGTAAAGATCAGTTTTTCTAGAAGAGCAAGACAAGTCTGACATTGTGACGCGGAGAATGTTCGACTTGCCCTTACCCAGGAATAATCCCTAGTCTTGTTTCTGTCAGTCCAATCTTTGATGCTCCAGGCCCTGTAGAACCACTCGACAGTGATAAGTTCCAAAGAAGCTTCAGATACAATATCCGGAAATGCCTCGGAGCCGATACATAACTTCAGAGAAGACAAAGTCGGTCACAGCAAGGTCTACCCACCTGCGACTCTCAAATCGCAAGCCAAAGCAAGCTCTAGACCTCCTCCAAGCGCCGGACCATCAATTGCCGCGATAGTGGGCATTGGAAGATTCTCCAAGTCATGAAATGCGTTCCTGAGTTCATATAGGAATTTAGAGACCTCAAGCTTGGTCATATGCTGCCGTTCTTTCAAATCGGCTCCAGCGCAGAACGATCCGGGAGCAGACGACTTCAAGACAAGAACCCTGGTACCATCGAACCGAACAGTCTCAAGAGCCTCGGAAAGCTCCGAAAGAAGTTTACTTGATATCGCGTTTCGCGCTGTTGGTCGGTTCAAGTTCAAAAATGTGAGTCCTCGTAGTTCCGGATTTGATGATACATGCTCCAAGTAAACCTCTTGAGCGGATGAAGACAATCTTCGTGATGATGCGCAATCCCTGAGAACTACCTTTTTGAGATTCCTTCGTATTGAGATGGGATATCTTGTATGTATCATGATGTCTCTTCAAAGGTACTGATTGGTTGGTCATGAGTTAAAGGTCCCTGAAGTCTCCAATGTAGTGTGACGTCATTGCTGGTTAAAACCTAACCCGATGTCTATAATCTCGAGTTTTGAACGACACCCAATTCTGCTCCTGATACATAGCCGGAACCACAAGTTGTGCACTGTCCCGAGGTGGAGGGTATAAAATGTTTCGGAGTGTCCCTCCTGCTGCTATACATACAACAACGCAATAACTCGACTACAAGTCGGGTAAGTTGATATCTTTTCAAAAAGCACGCAACATACCTCTTGTTACCAACAAACCATCAAGGTTCATTTGCGCCGTCCTGATATCATCGATCAAACTCATAGGCCTCGAACTTGGGTGCAGCGCTGCTTTTGTTGACTCTTCGTGAGGCGACCTTGAGCTAGGGGTGCAATGTTCTTGTCTACAGATTCACATAACTGGTTGTTCTTCTCTAGATTTGTTTGTGGTATCTCTTTATTATCCACATATGATGCAATATATTCACGTTCCCATCTCCCAATTCATGCCTCGGAATTCCATGACACCCTCTCATTTAACTCCTTGCTGGTGCTTTTGGAGTCTTTTTGGCTATTTGGACACCACATGAAGTCTCTAAGAAGTGAGTTGCAGATTATGATGTGAGCCCTCGTCTGCCCCTCAAATGGCAACTATGCAAAGGCAAGAAGTCGTACCCTTGGGGACGCTTTAAGTGTCCCCGCGTGCAGTCACAGCTTCAGGAACGCGGTGCATTGACATCCCGGCTTCCAAGGGCAAGATTCTGTTTTGATGCACAAAGGCACTTCACAAATCCGGCCGAAACCAAATCAAGAAAACTCACCTTTGTTCTTTGTCATTGAACGATCTCAAGCCTTTGATGCTTTTTGCCTTTTTCGTCCCGACTTCAAATATCAACTTCTTCCGCGCAATCGACATTTCCAATTCGCTCATAACTTTTCCATTCATTTCCATCACCTCGCTTCATTTTAGCCATCGTTACCATAACCTGGGTACCCTTTATTTCTTTCCATCTAGACGTTATTCATCATTTATCCGACACATGTCTGACAATTGCGAGGTTGGTCGTTCCGAAGCCTCCTATGGGCGATCGCTATTCCATGAAATCTTACCCCCAATGTGCTCCACTCGTGAATGTCTCAAGGTTGCACCATTGAGGGCCCATCAAATTTTGAAGGGTAAGTTTCCTCAACGATGTCTTCAGTTTGAGGTTGGGGGGCTGAATATCATTTACCCTATCATTTCAATACTTGTCATCAGACCATCTGGACTTGCGATATCTCCCCACGTCGTCATCCTCAGATATCAATAGGACAGAAATTCACGTACCTTCAAATTTGATCCATTTGGACACTCCCAACATGTCTCTTGTCCATGAATCGCAATCTGCGCTACTTATGAACCCCGGTACAAGCTCACTTTTGTGCGAGGATGAACACCACCGAGATCTTGTTGGATCGACGGCTACATCTATACCAACTGTTGATGAGAAGGATTTGTCTCGCCCAAGAAATCTGCCTTCCTTGTCTAGCTTGGAGGTCATCAGTTCTCTTAACTTTCAGGGTAGACCTCAAGATCCATCTGAGGAAAACATCGGCTCAGATTGGCTCCCTAACAACATCAACATCCCTGATTTGTCCTATTCCGATAGTTGCGATCTCTGCGAAGAACTGTCTTGTACCCATGATGCAGATAAAGCAGCCTCCGAAAGTGACAATGAAGAGCAAAGCTTAGACTACCTGGAAGGCGCGTCAGTTCAGGCTCAGCAGACCACGAGAATTTCTGACGAATCGCAACGATCGACCGAATCCTACTGTCATGCTAAAATCCCGAATCAAATTGTAAACTATGTAGCTGTTGATAAGGTTGCACCTACTCCCTTGACAATGATTCTCTTTGGGGATAGAGTCATTTACGATTCCCAAAAGCAACCAGGCAGAGCTCGCACCCGTCTGTCCGTCAAACGCCCTCTGAACTCAAGTGGGTTTGACGACTTTGCTAAGCGTCTCAAGAAATATTCGAAGGTGACCATTCACTGAGTCATATATGATCTGAGTAACGTGTTGTGATTTGAAGGTTTCATTACAATTTTTTCTGTCTGGCCTTGAGGCCGTTTTCTATTTATCATATAGTCTCACGTTGTACTGCCTTGTACTCGCATACTTTCCATATCTCCTATACCTTTCTTCATGCTTCGTTCTTTGAGTTTGGATTTGGTGACTATATAGTATATTGATCACTTGTAACTATCTACTAATACTCGATTCATGCGAATATGCCACGTTTTTTCTTGTATATATATGGGTAGAATATACCTCTGGAATATCTCGACTACATATGCACCTGAAAAGCGTTTCCGCATTCGCAAAACATTGCGGTACACTTTTTTGGAGGACGTGATGCCGCTGGTGGCACCAGGTAGTAGCATGCAACGCTAGTACATAGATTTCCTACTCCACAAATAGAGACCAACATGGATGAGGAATTGCGCACGACACTAGTTTGGCTGCTACAATCCGCAAACTGTTAATCTAGTCGATTCACGAGAATGTCATGCATGTGGAATAAAGACTGTCAAAGATACAATGAAGGCCTTACCCGGCCTCATGTTTTCAATTCAAGCCCAGATTCAAGGGCAAATATTACACAATCAGCAAGATGACCAGTACACTCAGCCCACTCAAAATGAAAGTCGTCGCTCATTTGACACCTATGGGGTAAGTAAGGTATTAGCAATGGAGGTTGAGGTTTGATCAACAAAAAAGCTCGGATATTGAAGGGAATTGTAGAAAGGCAACGCAGATTAATGAAGAGATAAGAAAATGTTTGTTGGCGTATGGATTCGCTGTAGCTGAGCCTCGTAAAAGTAAATACAGCATATCTTATGATCGTCACTTCGCTGCCAAGCCAAAGATAAATTATGAACCAATCAACATATTCACTTTCGCCGTTATGGCAAACGATAACTCTTGCTATGTTGAGTTCAGCTCAGTTTCTAAGATACTAGTTGGTAAATGTCGTGCTTGGACTCTGTTTACAAGCTCAAATCAAACAGGGAATATAAATCAAGTCGAGTTCCAGGGATGAAGTGGAGTATTACTATTAGGTGGGATGAAAATCTGAGATCGAGTTGGCATAAGGTCTAATCTGATTCTTGCGGGGTTTCATTATTTGAGCTGGATTTTGGCTGAATGGCTGTCATCTTTGAAAGACCAGTCGAACTCGCAGCTGTGAGGGTCGTACTTCGATTCATTGATGATTTTGACCATGTTTCATTGGAAAGCTCAGCAACGTTAGAGATTGAATCGTACATCGACGTTGGAGCTGGCATGTGAGCGGTAGCCGATCGGGTATGTATAGGGCTCGGAGAGGGATACACAAACGTGTGAGATGGAGATGCCGGAGTATGCGCTCGTTTTCGAGCAGCTTCAACAATTTTTTTGACCGTGACTTGATTTCTTTGAATTCGATCTGTTCGTGATGAAAGATATACGGGTTCTGTATCAGCATTACTTCGATCAAAAACAAAGCTCACAGAAAGGATTTCTCGGTGTAAATTCTGCTTGACCCTCTCACCATCATTTTTACCATTTGCCCGAAGATGAGGCTTCAAGAGCCAATTACCCGATGCTGGCCCACCATGATAACTGAACGGATATTTAAGGGCGCCTTGGTTTTGCCTTCTTCCTTCCGAAGATGCGATGTGCAGTTGATAGACAGAAATGATGACAATGAAAGATGTGATTCGTATAACCATAGTAAATATCATTTTCTTTGCACCTGAAAGAACTATGGGACTCTTTGAGAGAAATAGCCAGCTGGAAAACTAGATAAAATGAGACGAGGCATAAAGCCTCCAAATCACAGTGAGTTTGGTAAGAAATGTTTCTAAACTCTAACATGCAGTCAGTTAAGATTCAGATGAAGCGTTTAAATGGAAAGAACGCTACATTTTAAACGGTTGAAACGGATCACCTCAATCAGACTCATCGACATCCCTTTTCAACCAACGTGGATGTACAATCGTTGTGTGCAGCACGAAGAATAAGAAGAAAATACAACCGCCATTTATTCCCGTTCAGTGTTATAGTCAACATTTACTACCGCACTATACTCGTTTGCCCCAAATTTTGAGCCAATCATACGAGCTGACAAAACTCAGGAAGTGAAATTTTGTCTAGCACTGGCAGGATATATTTGACGTGTTCATCTTTGCATTCGATGCTCTAGTGATCTCCTTTATGTGCACTCAACGCAACCTTATTGTGTATCATTGAAATAACCAACTCTTCAATGCTCGCAGGTGGGAAGGTCTTGCCGATTGCCAGACAAAAGAGGGTGCATATCAAGTTCTTGTATAGTAAATGAAGAAACTATCTCTCATATGTTCTGAATTATTGAGAATCCGCTTTAAAGATGGCTTTAGATTTATCCAAGGACGGAGAACATGACATTAAGTGATCATTGAAAAGGCTAAGAAATCGAGTGCATGTTGAGAAAGATGGAATATCGAATCAGGGTTTGAAAAGATGATTGAGGCAGAAAATTCAAAAAACCATAGACAGATCAGGTGAACAGAAATTAATCAACATTGAGTCACATCACTCTTGGAGTTTGGATTGTGATTGTAGATCTTATAATAAGCCAACAGCCACAGATAGAGACAGACAAAATTTGCCTGATTGAAAGGGCGTGTCGGGATGGTACAGAGGCTGATTTATTCGTCATCCAAGCACCCCAAGCTGGTCCACAGGTTTAAAATTTAACACAGGGAATTGGGCCATGTTTCTCAGTGTGTGATTCACGACTACACTACGAATATTGTGATACTTCAAGATTTTCAACATGGATTTTTCCTTTTGAAGATGAAAAATCTGCAGTGATCAGGAATTCTCAGGAGGATGGCCTACCACCTCCCACCTCCTGATACCTTGATATGATAGATGTGACTAGAATGAGCACTTCAACTTTTTGGATGGTAGATCATGAAGCGTGTTGAGTGAAAGGAGTTGGATGTCTTACCGGCCGCGTGCCCGAAAATATCAGTCGTGGCCGGGTTTTGTTTGGGCAAGAAGTTTGGTTTATCCTTCCATTCCGTAGCCTTAACCGACCTACTCGAACGAGGATCAGATAATAGAATGGCCAAACGACCTACCATCATCGTGAGTATACAAACATGATCTTATCTCAATCCTAATCAACTTCCAAAATAAAGAACCTCAAGCAGGCTCTACCAACATGGGCGTTTTGATTCCAATCATCTACATTTGAGAGATAACTTGACGCTAGATCTCGTTTACTTGCGTCGGTTTGAACTTTGCCATATGACAGAACGTTGACATACCCTACCTACGCGTCTGCTTGTATTCTCTTGTTGTCTTGATGGGGCGGAAATCGTGTTTTAGCTCACCGGCGCCTCTAAAGGAATCGGTTTAGCTACCGTCAAAATCCTTCTAGCCGAGCCGTTCTCAGCAAATGTTATTACGCTCTCTCGATCCACTTCACCAGGTCAGTCATTGCTACTTGGCTTTTGGACCTTGTTGATATGTCGTTCAACTGTGATGGATGTACAATTTTCTAATATCTACTTTCCTCTCCTTACCCGCTTTTTGTTTCTGAATTCAATTTCGAGCACTAAAGATTTGCAAGAATTAGCCAAGTCTTATCCTGAACAGTTAAGGGTTCACGAAGGGGATGTGACAAAGGATGAGGACAATGAGACGGTAGTCAAGTCAGCCATTGACAAGTTTGGAACTCTAGACGGTAAAAATCCAATGTGCTCTCGAATCAGTTCACCGCCTGATCAATCTATTTTTTCTCTCCTCGATCATCATTTGTCAGGCTTGATCTTGAATGCAGGAATAATGGAACTTGGAAGAATATCAGAAACCTCGATGGATTCTTGGAAACGCGTCTTTGAAGTGAATTTCTTTTCGCTATTGTCCATCCTTCACCTTGCGATACCTCATCTACGTACATCCAAAGGCCGGGTGGTATTTGTCAGCTCAGGTGCATCAGTTAGTAAAGTAGCGGGGTGAGTTGCCTGTCACAGCATCATCTTCAAGACTACCATCCAGGCTTCAGTTACACAAAATAAAGTTTATCAGAATTAGACCAGTCTCTGACCATCGTTTATTGCTCACCAATGCTGCTACATCGCATACTGCTGGGATGAAACTCAGATGGGCAAGTTGTGAGTATTAGGCATCTAGTTTGGTTCTCAGTCAGCAGATGATGAACTTCATTCTGAGATCAATACGCTCCTTTCTTCTTCTCTTTACTCAGACAATACGAGCAAAGCAGCAATGAACTCTCTAGCTCGTACACTCGCCAACGAGGAGCCTGAATTGACCTCTATAGCCGTTCGACCTGGAGTGGTCGATACCGATATGCAAGTTCACCTTCGTGAACATGGTATGCATTTCTTTTTTGTATCATCTGCCATCTACTTCACTTGACCTTCACTTTGAATTTCAGGTTCGAAAGATATGAAAGCAGAAGAGTTGGATAAACATCTTAAGCTTCATGCTAATAATCAACTCCTACCACCTTCGAAGCCTGGATATGTTATCGCTGCACTCTCAATCAATACTCCTATTCACTTGAACGGAGAGTTTTTAAGTTGGGATTCAGCTGAACTCTCAGATTTGACTTTGTCTATTCCAGGGAAATGAAATACGATCAAAAGTAGTGATGCAAGCTGATAGATTGAATATCAACCGGTTCGGCAAGGAAGGAACCTGATCTTCTCGACCACTTTATCTTTCATCACACTAGACTCCTGGGTCAAGATCATGGATCGATATAGAAAAGTAATATATAGAATTTCAAATTTCAAAATGATGCGATGATAAGTGATCCAGTTTTTATAACTGATCTGTATGTGAGATGAAGAATTGGAAGTGGTAAACAACAAATGACGTCGATTGCTACAAATTAACACCAAAGTGTGACCCAGCCTTAAAATTTGATGAGTAATATGAGAACTGTGAATTGTGATTTTGAATGTGTTTATAAATCAAAGTCAGAAGAAATGAAGTATTTACTGATCACTAATGAATTCCTGAATGTGAATCAAGCTTGGGATGAATTGATGAAGTCTGATTGATTTCAGTTTATCGATTCAATGGTTTTCACGATTTCAATTTTCGATTTTATTAGGGTTGGAATCTAAATGTTATGGTAGAGTTCGTTGATTAGACTAGTTGATTAAGTAAGTTTCAGGGGATTGGATTGGATTGGATCTTATCTTTACATATAATCCATCAGGGTCATGAATTTACCATTCACATTGATCTTCATAAGATTCACGCGATGTTTTTCAAAAGATGAAGACTGATTTACATAGTCAAGGAACAGAATCCACTTGAGGGTTGTCCCCCGATAGACAAGCGATTCAATCAACTTGATCAAAATCAATGATGCTACTTTGTACTTAATTTAATTTGATTTGATTGATTTTCATATTTCAATCGATTTCACAATCCAACCATAGATGATGTACTATTTCTATTTTACCATTCCTACTACTTACCTTCAAGTTCATCTGAAGTATCTCAAAATCAATGACTTCAATCTTTCATTTATCTGATTGGTCTTATACCTTTCTCATTTATGCAGTCTGGGGTCTAATTCCCTGGTCTTGGTATTACACTTTAAATCATTCACTTAGGTTTTCTCTTCGTTTGCTTTTATCCAATAGACCATTTGATTTCACTTCATTTCCTCATCTTCAGTCACTATTGAAATTTCTTGCCCAATCTAAATCTAGACCCAGTTCACTTCTATTCTCTTATGCTTTACTTGAAGTTCTCTTTTCAATTTATTATTGTTATCAAGCTAAGCTAGCTCAGCGTAGGATTTATCAAGTCCAACATTCTCCCGAGTTCCTTCGATCCTGTATTCTTAAGGTCGTAGGTAGTGGAATTCCACCTGATTTAGGTCAACAGCTCGATGGTGCGTTTTCACGGGCATCTCCCTCTTTGATACCATTGAACATATCTTCGATTTCACGAACTGATATCGATCGATCTCCTATTTTCTGTACCATCTCTCGGTACTTCATATCCTTCGACCTTAGCATCTTTTGCCGAATCAAGCAACCAGCAGCGCACGCGACTTCAGCGTCCGGTATCTCCCCAAACTTTGGCTCCGACCGTAGCCTTGGATTTTCATGATCCTCATGCTGTAGACTTCAGGTCACACGTAGTGATTTGGTTTGGGAAATGCGAATGGGAAGAGATCTGCCGTGATAATTTCATGGAATGGCTTGCATGGTCACTTTTCAGTGTCCATCATCACGAAATACGCGATGCGGCTCATCACGAGTTAATCGCATCTCTGCTTTCGGTTTTCGAATTACGGGCGGGTGCCAAGCTTCCGCCGGGTTATAATTCACGCTTACGTCCTCGAGTCATGCGTCTCACACTTGACCCTGTCAAAGTGACTTCTCATCCCATTGGATTTTATGCGGCTGTTCAAGGATTAAGTTGGATGGTCAAGCGAATGTTGATTAAAAATGGCTTCACGGAAACACAATGTACCCATCGACCCGACGGCTTACGCTACTTGATTCGGAAACCGGATGGATGGGATCAGGCACCTGAAAAAACTCGATCGGTGCCATTCATCTGCATCCATGGATTGGGGGTTGGTCAGTCTGCAGATCACTTACAAGAACCATGCTCTAGGACTTCGTACCCAAATCAAACCATTACCATCTCACAAATACTTGAATCCTGGCAGGCTTTATCCAATATGTCGCCTTCCTCCGCTATCTTGCACATTCACCCTGGGCTCGATCGCGGCCCGTCATGATACCTATCCAGCCCTCAATTTCGTCAGTATGCTGTTCCCAAGATTCTCTTCGCATTGGTATCTAACTTCCATTCAAACAGGTCAAGTTCCTTCTCGTCTCAACATCTTTCCCCGCCATCCAAGGAAGAGATGACGTCAGATATGCGCGAAGTTTTTCGTAAGGAGGGATTTGAGACAAGTGGGGCCGATCTTTTCGGACATTCGAACGGCACGATCGTGGCAGCCTGGATTATCAAATCCATGCCTCATCTCGTCAAACGAGTCTGCTTGGTCGATCCAGTTTGTTTCTGTGAGTGCAGATGTTCGAGAAGATGAGGCTCAAAGTTGATGCCACTGTCTTCTGACCATTTTTGCACCGCGACTCCCATCTTCTAAATTTAGGTCTTTGGTGAGCAGTCTACCATCAGCCCAATCTCAAGACAGTGGATAAGTCAGACTGACGACTCTGCTTGTGTTGATCTTGTTGGTTTCCAATCATCCGTTCACAGGGAAGGGCACGTTTGTCATAAGTAAGCAACACTACTCCAAGGAGGTTGATTCCGATGTAATTTGATGATAGCCTATACTGATCATATCTGGAGGACCTCATCTTACAGTTTTCTTTATGGGACCCCTCAGAACGGTCTTGAGCGATTGATGCGATATTACATTGGCACCGAGCTAGGCGTGGCCAAATACTTACATCGTCATTTCGATTGGGTTGCCAATATACTGTGGCCAGCTGAGCTTCCAGACTTCAAGGATGGCAACAGATGTAGTGTTTTCCTAGCTGGTCGTGATTCGGTACTAAACGCACCGCGTGTAAGAAAGTACCTTTTACAGAATGGTATGACAGAAGTTGGGACAGAGAAAGGGGAGCCAGGGCAGGCCGCAGCGGGTTTGGTGATGGCCTGGGATGCGGCTCATGGGGAGAGCTTGATTGAGGGTCATTTTGAACGGATCAAAAGTTGGCTTGAGCGTACAACATGACAGATAGTTGACGCAGATTTCATGTTAAATATAGATATTAGGATCCTTGTGACACGGCGGGAGGTACAGTAAGCTATACAGGTGTAAGCTATGTCATCCCATCAATGTTGTAAGGTAGCAGAATCTTAGAGCTCGAAGTTTCCCAAAACCATGTCCGGGACGTCGATTCGGAGTCTTATGAGTTTTCGACATAGCTATTGCGCCGGATCCCTTTGATGAGATCATATAGTGATAGCGTCCAATATCAAAGATGATTGGCATGAATTCGGAAAGGTGGCCCTGGTGGTCTATTGGGCATACGATTGAGTCATTTTGATGCATCACAGTGGTGCGCTAACCTAATTAAGTCTCTCTCGGACAAGCGAGTAGTTGGGATGAGTGACTCATTCAGAAAGCAGCATCTGAACTTTCTGTACCAAAAAGACCTTCCACGCCAGATTGAAGTTTGAACCGAGGACTTCGATTCTGATTGGTTTCTTCATGTCGAATCATCAACGGCCTAATTACCTTTCGACTGTTGTATGGTAAAACGTTATCATGATAACTGTACGGCAGCTTTAGTCAACCAGGCTTGATCTAAGAGCTGTGTTTCTATATCCACGCGAGAGCTGCCTCATCTTCAGTCTGGACACAAACGTAATACATCAACAAGTAACATTGACTTGCAAAACCAATGACGCGGCAGTCTGGAAGCACAATGAAATCAAACTGAGATGCTGGGAGCTATACATTTGCGAGTTCCTAACCGCGTATTCCCTCATTGATATAAGATGACCAACCATATCACCATACTTTTCACCCATCCTTCATAGCAAGCCTATCCAAGAACCACCCACCTACTAATCACTTAATCTCAAACTAGCTACCTATATCTTTTATTCATCATGCACTCATCCTCATTACAACAGACCCTTTTGATGGTGATCTTGCTAGTCACTGTAATATGCGCCAGTCCATTTCCAAATCCACAAAATGATGTGAACACTCCAGTCGAAAACCCAACGTTGGCAAACCAAATCAACTCATCTCCACCTCCAACCGAGCAAAAGACGGAAGATGAAGAGAACAAAGAACCAGCAGATCACAAGAAAGCTTTATCAGAATTAATTTCCAATAATATTGACGTTGCTAGACTCAATCAGATAGTTAAGAAACTTTCACAAAATGAACTTTCATCAGAAGAAATCATTGGTTTAGCTCAAAATGGAACTAAAATCGAATTCCAACAAACTAAACATCGAACTTATTTATCTGAACATCCATTGGATCAATCTAAACGTGAAGAAAATGATCAAGCATCTGAAAAGTTAGGTCCAATTATTGAACAAATTCAGTAAGCCAAAAACCATTCGTTAATTTATCTTTTCTTTCCAAGTTGATCAAGTTGATAAATTTTTGACATGATCCTTTTTCTTTTCTTTTTTTTTCTTTCTTCTAGGCAACATTTTAATGATATCGCTAATGATCCTTCACAAGTTAAACCAAACCTTGCAGAAATTATTCGATTGAGATCTGAAGCTCTTCCTCGTTAGTTCTCTTTCCTAAACCTTTTCTCCATACATTCGTATACCATAAACTGATCCAATTTCGATTTTCTTTAGTTGCTATGATCATCATTTCAAACGTACTTTCTAATGGAACTCGAACATAGAGAAACAATTTCCTTTGTTTCTTTTGAATTTACATTTTATACTCAATTGGGTTATAATAATATGACTAAGATATTCCTAGATGATTTAGCTTAGAATCAAGATTTGATACTGTAGAACAATATGCAATCTAATTTATTTATACCTAATGATTTCTTGACGATGACCATTCTCACTGGAGATTTTAATGATCTTGATCCCTACCTTTGAACCATTCACATGGCAGTCAGCTTTTGGATGTGAGAGAATTTGCAAGGTTGAAAAGTTATGATTCAGTTTTTAAACACCGTTAGATCCTGTGTACATGGTGATTAGGATGTAGATATCCACAGCCTTTTCAGGCATGGTGGACCATAAAACTCTACCAACCAATCATGAGGTCTTCACGTAGAGAACAATTGGTCAACCGTTCTAACGTCCTCAACTCCTAACAGTCCAATGAAATGTGATATCACATCACCAATGATATTAAACCAGATCAGCTGGCTTTGGTGGAGCAACGCCTATCAGAATGTTGATGAGCTTTCAAGGATTGGCAAGATTACCTGAGAGATTAAATACATTCACTGCACAAATCCCAAGACCAAGAAGCTGATCTTGTCAAGGGAGTCAATCATGTACGCCGCACAACACTCAATCCCTGCGAATGAACCATAAAACCTCGAGAACAAGCAGCCTTAATATTTTGTTCTAAGGTCTTGAAAAACCAATTATAATCATGAACCAAATTATTGATCACTTGTGGATCCAGGATTATACCTCTCAGGTGTGCTTTCCACCTTGTTTCATCTGCATGAAAATCACCTGTCATGTAGATTACCGTTCCAGGGGTCAGCGAAGGATTTTTTGAAGCCTTCGTTATCATTCTCCTCCTCGTTTTGCTTGTTTCCTTTCAAGACTTGAGAGTGGTCATAACTTGTATGTGGAAGCATGGTCCTGGGATACATGACAAACTAGAAAACCCGGGTGTTTTTCGATCAGAAGCCCGTAACGGGGTTGCTCAAGGTCCCGAATGTGTCTCGGGGACTTGACCACCTCGATGTGCCTGTCGCGATTTTTCCACTCGACTTGATCATCACCTTGGCTGTTTTACTTATTTACCATTTCAGCACCACACAAGCCTTTCCAACCTTTCCAAGGAAACTCGAACGACATCCAACCATTCTACCTTCACCGCCCGTTCTGAAGATGCGGGAGCCAAAGCTTTCAGTTAATCTTGAACCTCCTTCTGCTCGCCGTTTGGCCAATGATATCCCACTGGATAAAGAATATTTTGAATCTCAAAAAGACGTGCTTTGGGATCTTACGGACGATGGCACTCGTATTTGGAAACAACCGTATGCTCCATGGCTCAGACTCTACCGCTCTTAGAGACAAACAATAATGATATAAATGCTCTTTCAAATCATGATTCCACTTTCTTTGTCTCTCTCGATCAGTGATGATGAAACAACTCGGATGACCGACAATCTATGTCGCGTGTGGCAAGAACGTGGCGACTTCTCCCAGCTAACCCTTGATTCCATTCACACCGCCCCTACTACCCCTGCAGAGCTGGAAGAGACGCCTGATGCCTCTGATGAGTCGACCACGAAAGAAGAACCCCAAGGAACGGACTCTATCAGTAGCGAGGATTTATGGGAGATGAAGCTCAAAATGGTTCAGCATCTCGGGCAAGTCATCAATCCATTTAGAAAGAAATCTACAGATCTCTCATGCTCTCTCATTGTGCGTTTCCAGTGCGATTGGGGTTGAATTGGCAGCAGGACTCGATCTTTTGAATATCGTCCTTGGCCCTCTGGCTCCTGATACAGTGGACACCAACAGTCTACCCATGCCAAACGGCGGTCTCGCACCCGCTATCCATTCTCCAGATCATATTCCACCTCAAGCAGAATCCACGACCCTTGTTGACGCTGCAGTATCCTTGATGCGAAAGCAAAAAACTACCAAAAATGTATCGAATGTCCTGAGGAACGCCTCAGAAGAACTGGGGAAACAAGTTGAAAGATCTCAAGATCAATGGAACGCTTTGTTAGAGCTTCGAGAAGAAGGCTGGGATATGCGACCAAAAGGCGTCAAAGCCGGTGTTGACGTAAGCCTGATAGGAAAAGGAGCGGAGCGAGCAGCGAAAGAAGTTGGCATTGTCTTTGCAAACCCCGAAGGTCCGTTCTACATACGCTCTCTTCACTTTTGACCTCAACTTTCACACTCAGTCCAACTATTCTCCTTGCCTGGCATACTGTGACTACCTGAAGTACAGCTGCGGAGGTTCTACGCGCTTCTTCGATTGCTTCATTGGAGCCAGCATCTCTGGGTTCAGTTGGCTCGCGACCGGAGATGAAGTTTCCCACTCGACCCAGGCGACGTTTGGTCATCAGCCTGATCACACCCGAAGGTCAACCGGAATACTTTTCTCCTTGGTCAAACTACTCCTTTCAATCTGCCACATCACCCCTCTTTTCTGAAGACTTAGAAATGGCTCGTGCAGAGATGCTCGAAGAAGAAATCTTCAGCGAGGTGACTTGCCCAGTTACAATTTGGGTGGCCAAGTTCTGATAGCCATGTCTTTTGTTAGGTTTCCAAGGAGGCGCAACTTGTCGATAGCTATTCAATCATCACATCAGATTCTTCTGTACATGTCGAGGACCTAGGACTAAGAGTACAGATACGGTTTGAGATGGTTAATATTATGCTCAACGGATCAGTCCTTGTGCATATACTAACGATCCTGTCCACTTTCCATCTCATAGGTTGAAAAAGTTGCATCAACTAAATTTTCAAATGAGGACTCACCTCTGGCGCTTCTAATATCATCGATCATGCGGCTTATGATGACTTCAATGTACCGATCACGGCGTCTACACGCTACTGGCTCTGCAATATCTAAGCCAAAAGTCTCTCGACCCAAGATGCTGAAACCGGTATTGGATTTAATTGTTTTCTACACCTGTGCCCTGAGCGTGCGACGTCTTTTTATCCAAGCTGCCGACGCATTGACGCCGACTCGTCTCGAGGTCGATCTTGAATGTGAGCCGGTGTTGGAATCGGTCGCAAAAATCATACGTTTACTGAGCGATACTGGATTTGGCGAGGATACGCAAAATAAGACATTTGCGCTGGGGGGCATGTGGACATTGAGGATTTGTGAACAGTAAGTTGTTCCTCTCTTCATATACTTCATGCAGCTTGGTGACGTAACTTGTTACATAGTCATTCAGTTTTTTTCACAGTCGCTTGCCCAGCAGTGGTTTCTTTATGGTTACCTCATCAGTCAATCAAAATTGCTCTTCCGCAGCTTTCAAGTGTACTTCAACGTGAGGTAGAAGAATGCATCTTATCAGCTTTATTGGACTCAGTTGAACAGAAAGGCTTTTCAGCCACACGATGTGCGCCAGGCTTCAGTTGTGTACGGGGCGAACTGGAGATGTAAGATATTTTCTTTGGCCTCCTATCCCTGGAATTGATTATTTCACTTATGTTTGGATATCTTTCTTAGATTTTTGACCGTCAGCTTTTCACTCAGAAATGGTGTTAAGGCCAGGGTAGAAAAACTTCAACCGACATCTACAACACCAATCCCCATACTTATTAGTAAGTATGAAGGAAAAGGTAGCATTATGGAATGGTTGGAAGGAACAATCCCCCCTACATGATCATGAGGAGTGATTTGTGGTGCGGGAATTGATCATGGTGTCTTGGACATGATTGTAAATGAGGATCTAACTGTCTTGATTATCCAGCCAGTGTGTTTCCTTGAGGTGATCAAACTGGAGGTTATATTGTATACCTTTTCATAAATCTGTATTGCTTACAAAAGTACCTGTCATAGGTTGAATGATTCTTATGTAATTTATTCTTTGCTTGAAAATCATTGAAATTATATACTACAACTTCAGATGAGCGAGTGATCCAATCAAAAAAGTCAAGATCCACATGGCAGGTGGTCCACCATGTGGAAATACTTTGAGAGTATCAATTCATTAGTAGGTCTGGGAAAGTCTTACGCAAGTCTGATTCTGACCCACTTCCCAAATCTAATCTTCAAAGATCCATAGGCAGAACTCACCTTTGAAAGCTTATGGTCCTCCACAATCACTGCTGATACGGACCATTCAGAAAAACACAGGTATGGGGTTTCAAGCTCGAAAAAATAGACTAATGTGGTAAAACAAAAGGTCTGGTGACAACCATGATGAGATTGGCATACATTGTGTAGATCACCCAAAAGCTGTTCTTAGTTGACCCCCCTCTGTTGGGAACCTGAAGAGCGCATACAGACCCCCGAGCAAGACACATTCTGGGGGTATGGGCTCATAGGCACAACACTCGACTACCTGTGGGGCTACACAGCACTTCATTGGAAGAAGTGCAAATTGGTGATACGATCCTACAATTATTTGGCCGCTTTCGCTGCAAGCGTTGTTAGGCTAGCGGTAAACTGGGGCCTTGCCATTGTGCGAGTGGCCTCGTCAGGGGTTCGACTCCCCTACAACGCATATATTTTTGTAGATCGGCACTGTCCACTTGACAAGGTCTGTGTTGAAGGCTTGATGGAACAAACGATATATGCCAGCACCGCAGCTGCTGGTGGTAGAAGTTCTGGTGAAATCTTGAAAGTTGGCTGCATTTTGCTCTGGAACACAATGATGCTTGTACTGATTGAGGTACAGCTCTTGTTTCACCTGGAGGCCCTTGATGTGCATCTTGCGTACATCTTGGGAAATGAACACACAAGCATGTCAAAGGATTGAGAACAATGCAAATCTCAGTCCAAGTGAAGTAATATTACATAAGCTTAAATCCCTATACTTCTCCACTCATCTACTTTTACAAAAGCAATTTGATACCAATTTGACCTACAGTTCTGATACCAAGATTTAAGTTTTGAGAATTTCAAAGAGCAATCAATATAGCTTTTGAAAAGCATTTCCTTTGGCTTTCAATGCACACCTCTTAATGTCCTTAGTAAAAGCACCATTACCTTGAGACCTCTACATATCTATTTCTAAAAACTGTATGTACTTTACTGGTTTCAAAAGAACTCAAATAGCAATTCAACACCAATTTGAGTTATGGTACTAATACCAAGCTTTGAAAAGCATTGTATAAAGTTTTAATAAGCATTTAATTTAATTTTCAATGATAATATTGGAAACTTCTATCATAAAATCTGCATTTCTAAAGTTCACTAGCATAAAATGACACACCTTGTAAAACATTCCTTCTGGTTCCATCAAAAGCTCTAATATCAATTTTCCAAAAGCTTAAAAACCTGCAATGCTTTTATTATGTAAGCTCGGCCATTGTTGTTGTTTACCAAAAAAACTGAAATCATGGACTATAAAGCATATTGTAAAAAGAAATTAAGCTGCCTAGCACACGTATACTTTGAAAAGCAGCCAAACAAAGTGTTGAATAGAGATCAATTCAATGTTCAGTGGAACACCCTGAACCATTTATTTTGAACTCATGAAAAGCACATACTTCATTTTTTGGAAAGCATTCTGTTCAAGAGTGAATCATGAGCATTTGCCATTGTCATTCAAAAGATCTCTTGCAAACCATGTGTTCATCATGCAATAAACCGTGTGTTCATGAACTTCACAAACACACGATTTATCAAAGATCACAAACTCTCTGCAAAAAGAAATTTAACCTCTTCATGTGTTATAATCTGACCTGCTGCATTTGAAAAGATATGTATTTGTCTCACTTTTGCTACCCATCCCCTGCAGAACGCTAAATTATTCAAGGAAATATTATACTAGATATCATTACACATGCATTTTACTGTTACTCCACTTTTAGAATTCCATCTTTGGCCTTTCAACTAAAACCATGATTTTCTGTGCATCCATATATTTCAACACTCCAACTTTTCCTCCTTGCACTGCAAATATAATGTGTTTCTCCAAGCTGAAACATGATCAAATTTAATGTACAAGATGATTAAGAATGCAGAATGAATGCACACTTGATGCACTTGTAATCATTTTGTAGATTAAATGTAGTTATTTTTCACCTTGGAGAGACAAATTATATTCACAGATCAATGGCTTCCCTCAATCTTAACCTTCCAGTGAAACTTATTTTTTCATGCACACCAACAAGCAAGCTTTTTATTGACAATGTGCAGTTGTATCGGATCACTTATTCAATGTTGCCTTGTCAACTTCCAGATAAAATTGTTGCTAAATTCATCACACTGTACCAAAAAACATTGTCTTAGAATTGTTCTATTATCTGAGTCTATTTTGGGTGTACAGGCTATGCCCAGCGTAATTATGTTGCAAAGGCACCATAATTCCTACCCCGGGAATTTCCAAAAAGAGTGGCAGTTGGCAGTAGGTATTGAAATATGGGAATTGGGGCCAGCTTAGTGATGGCTTCACCTCAAGTTGGTGCGCCACCCCATCAGGTTCTTGAGTTGGATAGAATTTTGCCACTATGTTCTTAAAATTTTGAAACTCAGACCTCAAGCTGTCATGTATTCCAAACCCTCACTCTAAAGGTCTATCAAAAGGATCACTGTTGAAGTCTTCAATTCACACAAGAAGAGGTAACAAATTGAGGAAACACAAAGAACTGAAGGAGAATTAAATGCAATAAACTGTTGAGGAAAATTATGTGAAGATACAAATTACCCCAATCAAATTTATCAAGTTTGTCACATTAACCCATATGTCAGAATCACTGAACTTGAAAGTACTTCTCTTTCCTCATCTTTGGAAAGAGAAGTACGTACTCTTCCAACTTTTCCTTTCTTGTATATTTTTTACTAATATTGATATTTATGCTCAATAGCTGTTATGTTTCATCTGCCATAAGACTCTTACTCTTGACAACATAGATCAGTTATTGAATGATAGATAACTTCAACTAATTAAATCTGTACCAATCATCCAGGTACTAACTTCATAAGTCCTATCTTGATCATGAATCTTTCTGATTGATTTGTTGTTTCAGGTCAGAATAATCTTGTTAGATTGCATGTAAGGAGCTGTTTCTCACAGTGCTATTGTACACAATCTTAGGTGAATAAAATGGAATATCTGGAAAGAGAAACTCTTACTCTTTATAACAGAGATCAGTTATTGACTGATAGATAACTTAAACTAATCAAATCTGTACCAATCATCCAGGTCAGAATAATCTTGTTAGATTTTGTGTAGGGACTTGGTTCTCACAGCGCTATTGTGCACAATCTTAGTTACCCAAACCCACAGATATCTTTCTTGATTCAAAGACACTCATAATTTCTCAATCACATGTGCCAAATAAATTCCCATGCACAGTTCAAGCAATGGTGCCTGCGGAACCCAAGATGCTAATTCAGTATCAATGCACTCTTTCATGATCTGGTAGGTTTCTTCAAGACCCACATCAAGAGTGAATCCATTCACAATCCATAGTCAACTACTTGTGTAACACTCTATTGTTCTTGGTATCAATGGTCCTTGGTCTGTACTACAGGCATCTGCAGCCAATGAAAATGTTTACTCAACAGTGGCTGAGCTCCCACTGGCAGCCACATATTGGCAAGCTAGTTTTGACAGGACTGGAAATTCTCCCTTGTGGCTTTGTTGATGATTGTTTTGTCAGGTTTCACACCTAGAACAAAAGTAGATTAAGAATAATCACCTGCCTCCACTTCAATGCTAAGCAAGGGTTCGTTGCAAAATTGCCTGAAGGTTCATTGCTTCCAAGCTGATATTCAGTGAGTTAATCAATTGTTGAATTCCCCTTTTGTGGGGCATGAAGATGCAACATGGGTTCAAGCTATTACCCCTCTTCATTGAGTTCACCACTTTTCACTATTTTCACTGTTGTGTAGTTTGTCTTTGCTCATTTATTTTTATATATGTGCCTGTCATGTTTCAGACTATCCGTATATGATAAGTTTGAAACATATAGTCAATTTAGATATATCATTATACCTGAAAGAGCATTATATTAGTTTCTTTCTTCACCATCTAGCTTATCAAATTGCATTTTTGTATTGAAGGTGATTACTCAATCAATGGGGGGCTTAATAGTTTCATAGTGATACATCTGAGCTATATCTAGGCCCCTCTCTGAAATAATTGCAACAAAGAAATCAATCATTTGGAGTGGGTGGGTAGGGAAACATACCACAATAATTGACATATCTGCTACAACAAAAACAAATAAGTTTTCTGCACATGTCAAAAATTTAGATAGAATATGACTTCAATTCATCTGCTTATAATCCAGGTAAGATTCAAGCCTCCATTTCTTGTTTTGACAAATTAAAACCATTTTCCTTCAACCATAATGGAAACTGTTCTGGTATACAAGTCTCCAATACCTCGTCCAAGTGTCTCACATGGTCCTTGATTGATGATGGCTTTGGCCACCTCTTTAATAGGTCCCATATTGTAGGTTCCACCTTTATGATCTTCAATACACTTGAATTTTTTTTGAATATCTCCATCATATATTGAGACTCTTGACAGATATTTGAGGATGCATGACTCATTTTTGCAGAGCCCACAAATAATGTGTCAAAGTCCACTTTGGTCAAGATTGAAAACTGTATTTGGAGAAAATCCCACACATCTCGCAGAATGATGTGAAGGAACTCACTACTTCCAGTTTCCTTTTCTAAGACTATCTTCACTACACCAAAAAGAGAAGGAACCAATCTCAACTTTAAGTTACTGATGGCATTTTCAACCCTGCTTATGTAGTATTTTATTTCACTGGGTCCCAATGATGGTTTCTTATCAGATACCTTGGTAAGAAGGCTTGACCTTAACTGCTTGAAATAAACCCTCAACTCTTGCTCAATATTCAAAATGAATCTGACACATGATCTTCCTTGATTCAATAGAGTTTGTCTACTAGTTGCTATTTCGGAAAGCTTTGGAGTGACAGAAGTTGTTGGTAAATATGCTTCATTCCTGTCCACATAGCTTTGGTCTCTTCCACAACCTTTGTGCATCCATATTCTAAGTTTTGTATTCAATAATCCATAAGGAATTATTGATAATGACAACACTTTTTCATCTCTCCATTCTTTCCATACTTGGTAATATACATAAAGCTTGAAATCACGTGGACTCTTCAAAAACAGGAGTTCATGTAGTACTCTGAATGGTGAAATTCTATTGTATCTTTTTATATCTGTCTCAGAACCAATTATATCTTGAATTTTCTGGGTATCAAATATTGAAAACCCATCAATATATCCTTGTATCCAATGTAAGCTTTTTTTGAAGAGGTTGTAGCAATCACTTTCTGGGTTTTCTGGTGCATCAACAAAAGCAATAAATCCAAGAAATACCATCACAACTGCAGAATTGACTTTTCTTCCCGCATGTTCCAAATTCTTCCTCATATCTGTTAAAACACCTCCTGTGAAATCCAGATTTTCAACTGAGACTTTAAATCTTTTTTTCCAATCAAGAAACCATTTGTCATTGATGCTTACTAAATCACCATACATTCTGAGCTGTGTACTACCCAATTCTCTAAGACTACCAGGAATCCTTCTCAGGATATTCCTGATCAAGTGATGGGGCATCTTATCATTTGGAAAAGATAAGTCTAAATCTGGAGAAAATTCAAATAAGTTTTGATTACTATTATGAGTGTTTTCAAGCCTTGAATCAGCCAATCTGGTTTTGCAATTCCTTGAATTCTGGATTGTTTTGGGATTTGCTGTTCTTTTTTTAGATTCCCTGCTCTTCTTGAGGGATGATTTGAGTTGGGAAGGGATAGATATTGGGTTTTCCTTGACTATTGTCATGGTTTCTTCCATTGGATGATTACTGGTTTTCATATTCCATAACTCTGTAGACATTGTAGGCTTTTCCCTTTCATTTGAATTTAAGGAGGTGTAATCAGACATTGATCCATCCACACCTGTATGTGCAGATCTTTCACCTCCACCTATCTCGGGTATATCTGCCACTGAATCTGAATGTATTGAAATACCTCTGGGCATTTTATTTTCTTCCAGAGCATTTTCCATTCTGGGAAAACATTGTCTTTGAAGGTTCACAAGAAGAGAGCTGGAAAATGAGTTTCCTGCAATACCTCTGTGATTGTGTCCTGAACTAGAGTCAATAATGTTATAGTTGTGTGATGTGATGGTGTCTGAAGAAAATTTGAAAGCACCTTCAGGTGTTTCTTCTTCCATGAAATTAAATTCAGGGTCTGAGGAATGGGAGAACTTCATCATATGATCCAACAACTGTTGATTTGGGAAAGTTTCAGGATTTTCATGTGGATACATTGGAATTGTATTTAGAGATGTTTGCTTCTGATGTTCTTCAAGTCCCTGGAATATGTCATTACCATTTGTACAGGTTGGAATGCTTGAGAGATCATCAACTAAGTCTACATTCAGAGGGAAAGGCAAGGAGGGGTATATGTGTGATGGATTCAGTGAATTTGCACTTGGATTATGGCCAGTATCAGTATCTTCTGGTGTGTGTGAAAAGTGAAATGGTGCTGTGTATGGGTTATTAATTGAAGGATGATGTTGATACCAAGTATGTGGCTCTTTGTTTATGGTCATTTCAGCTAGTGGTGCCCCTTGGATTCTAACTTGACTCATTCTATTGGTCACTGGATCACTCTCCTCTATTCTATGATGATTATTGATATGATGAACTGGATCTTGGTTTGTATTCCATAGCGTGGTGTGCATTGAAGATTTGTCCTGCAGATAATTATACTGGAATTGAAGCTTTGAACCAATCTCTTCCCCATAGATATGTTCATGCTTCCCCTGATGTGTGTGAATATCTGATTCAGGATGTAGGTGTCCAAGATCCTGGATTCCATGACCCTCAACATCAATAGTAGGACATGTCTTGTCATTTCCCCAGTTGAATATTTGAGTGTATAGACTATCAAAGGAGGTATTTTCAAAGGGATCCTCAACCTGATGCTCTAAACCTCTCACAATGTAAAAGGAAAGATATGAGATTGAGGCAGCTGTAATTAATTTAATTCTTCTTGTAGCCATGTTGAGAGTGCTCATAGTTGATTCTGTTGATGTGTATCAATAAGTGTTAGAGTCCATTTTGAGTTGGGTTTGATATAGTTTTTGTTGGGGAAAACTCTGCCGCTAGCAATCTCAAAAAATATCTTCAAAGATCCTCCCAACGGGTGAAGTGGGGAATTCATGGACTTGGATGAAACTTGTATGTAAAAACTCCATGTGTGTCCACTCCAATATGTATGATATAATTTATGATGCAGCACACAAATACCTTGAAACATTTGTCAATTGTCTCAGAATTGATTACCTTGAATGAAATTTGTTTCTGGAAAATTCAGGCATACTGCCAGAGAAACCACCACAGCCATGATGAAACACCTTTAAACCTGGGTTATCAAAATGAATCCCATGACTTTAAGTTCTTCATCTTTTTCATGGGGAATTTACATGCAGTGTAATGGATGACAAAAAACAACTATCACAAAATGTATGTTTATCATCTACCAATCTGAAATGTGCAAAATGTGATATTGTGCAGCCAAGATTTCTGTGAATTTTGTGAATTTTGTGAATTTTGCCATATCATGCATTTTCTTCCTTTAAAGAATGTTTCTGTTCATGTTTATCAATGGTTTTGATCATCTTACCAGTGATTGAGTTGAGGGTATCACAATTCCAGGCCACTAAGAACTACTGTCAGCCTGAGACTTAAGATGGTTGGCTTCAAGAGACTCAAAGCTGGATGATCTTCCTTGAAGCATCTTAATTATTGGCTTTGTTACACTACAGTAAGTTTACTGAGGTATATTCAAGCCTTTATATAACAGAAGCTGGTGACTCCATGTTGTCTTAGGTGCGGAATGTGTACTGCTGCCTGATATTCACTGAAAGGTCTGTTCCAATCAGGGTCTTCTGAGGTAGGTATGAAAGGACTCCTGTATGCAATTGTAACTAGCCTAGTGTCAACATAAAAGAGGCATCTTTATCAATACCAATCTTTGAAACATTTTGGACAATGAAGGGAGTTTGATCTAAATATATGTTTTGATCTTTAGTTCATAACAACATTCTTTAACAAAAAGATACACAATAATAGTTATCCAAAATTGTTGGTGGTCAATTGACTATGGTAAGTGAAATCTATGTACAAGTGAAAGGTTATGAAAATTTTTACAAACTGAGCAGAATGAAATGAAAGATATTCAAGCAGGATGATGTAATAGGAAAATTGATCACCCCAACTGATTTTGTTGAAAATGAAGAGTTATATATATATATGCTTGTGTTGAGAAAATTGTATCTCCCCATCTTTGGGAAGAGAACGTATGTCAATGTTTCATTTTTTTATACTTCTTAATTCTAAATGTGATTGATCTGATATGTTATATGTCTTGGTTTTCATCTCATAGATCAACTGAGCTCACTGTCTGCTCTATCAACTTGATCAGAAGATGAGGACAACCTATTGAAACCTCAATTTCCATTGACCACAAAACAAACCAATTGTCAGACCAAACAAAAGGCTGTGAAGAAATGAAAAAAAGTAAGTTTCCTGATGTTTTACTTTCCTTTCTTTTGAATGATTGCTTTTGATTACTGAACATGATTTTATAATTTCCCCTTTCTAGGAAAAGGCAGTACCTGATCAAGACTCTGGAGACAAGATCATTCCAAGCAGACCTAGGACAGGTATTAAGGCACCACAACTGGCTTGAGTCAAAGAATTACTCAAGTAATATCACCCTCCAATCTATCCTACTGGCCAGGTTTGTTTAGTGGTTTGTTTAGTTTTGGTTAGTCATTTGTTCAAGATTCAATACTGATATATGTTCTTCAGACCTCTGGTGATCCACAGTTTTACAAGTGCTGGTGGTGTTGTGGTTGTTTCCTCAAGGGTATGACTAACTACTACAGCCTTTGCAGACACCAGGATGGAAGCAAAGGACAACTGCTTGCCCAGGTGATCACAAGCCAAATCTTCTGGCATGGATCTTCCACTGTCATGGGAGGAGCTGCAGATATTTGCACAGAGTTCAAATTCAGGAATTCTTGATTGTTTCATTTCCAAGGATAAGTTCAGTGGTGACCTCCTGAATCTTATGTGTGTAATCTGGTTGGTTTGACAAGCTCTTCCATGGGCTTGTTTTCAAGACTTAATGTTGTGAGCAGCTTTCCAATTGGCAAATGTTTCAGCTGCCCTTCTATTTGCAGTATGGGCAGCAAACACTGCAAAGTGCGCTTACTCTGGATTGCAGCAGGCAGTTCTGGAAACAACCAAGGTAAGTCCTCTGCTCATATTTTTCTCATTCTGTTTCCGTTTACATCTCTTCATCATTTTAGGCTTCTATCTCTTCTTCTTTTTCATGCACTTTTTTATTCCTCACTCTTTGTCTTCATCTAGAACATCTCATGCAAATTCTGCCTGATTCATGATGGCTGGACCACTTCTCAGAGCTGTTATGCATTCATTGACAATAAGTGGAAGTTTAAGACCGTTCATCTTGGTCTGAAGCTTGCCGCTTGGAACCATGCAGGTGTCTTACTTGCCCAAACTGTGGCTTGATTTCTCACCAAGCATGGTCTATATGAGAAGATGAGTTTTATTTATTTATTTTTATTAACCATTTCAATATTGATTTTGACATGTTTTGTGTTATCTGCATGCTATCCCAAACAACCAATCATGGCTCCAACAATCCCACCCTTGCTTACAAATTACAGAGGCTGTTTCTGGAAGCTACTCCTAGTGTTGAATGGTCAGCTGGTTGCATGCAAATTTTATGTTACACCCACAAGCTAGCCTTGCTGGTGAAGCATGGCCCAGCTTCAATTGGGCTCAATCTAGGCCACACCAAACCAACCACCCAGCCTCTCTTTGCTATCACAACTCCCTTGATTATATTGAATGATGGTGATGATGTTCAACTTGAAGTTCAAATTAATTCCAAAAACTCCAACCATGCTAGCAAAACAGAAATTTTCAACTGTGAGTCAGAAAGTGGCAGTGAGAGTACTCAACAAACCCCTGAAATTACAAGTTTACTGCCTGGGTCAAGTACAAGCCATTTCAATCTGGTTGTTCAAGCAATAAAAAAGGTAAGATTATCATGATAGTATCATCTTCTTGATATTTGAGGTAGTCTCTATCTATATGTCAATCACCATCCACAAAAATCACCTACTGATGTCTCATGAATTCACCAGGTTTTTTGTTTAAGCCACATCAAGAGTGGAGTGCAATCACTCAACAGCAGCAATCTTTCTACTCGACTACCACTGTGTGAGGATGTCACTTGAAAAGCTGAGTTCGCATACACCATACCCTAGCCAACAGAAAATGATCTCTGACATGATCAAGCTCCTACAATTTCACAAACGCAAGGCACTTCAATGTGACACAATTATTGTTACCACTGTCCTCAACCCCTGACTCAAAAAGAAGTTCTTTGAACATCATCATTCATCACAGGCCACTCATGTTCAGAGAGTTACAGAGCAATATATGGATACTTACTCAAATTAATACCAAGCTAGTTGCCCAGTCAAGAACCTTGCAGCTGATCAACAAGATCTGACTGTGACCAATGACAAGTAAAATGTATTTGCTATGATTGTGTCTGGACCTCACAACAATACTGACCAAGAACTTGAGGGTTGCACACTTTTGTCATGGTGGAAAGTATGTCTTGTCTTATTCTTCATCTGATCATTGATAGCAAAGTTCCCCACTGCCTCTTGTGTTTTAGGACACTAGGACATTTCCTATCCTGGCCCTCATGGCTTGTGACTTTTTGGCATGCTCTGGAACCACTTGTTCATGTGAGCAGGTTTTTTCAGGTGCAGCTGATTTGTGTGTGTCCAATTGATGTGCTATGGCAAGCCATACTATTTAGTGATGTTATTAAGCTTTTGTAGAAGTAGATAGATGGAGAATTATAGGAATTTCAGTTTATGTAATCTTACTTCACTTGGACTGAGATGTGGATTGTTCTCAATCCTTTGCACATGCTTGTGTGTTCATTTCCCAAGATATTAGAGCAAAACACAGGAAACTTTCAAGAGTACTTCTACCAACCCAGTAACCTCAAACTTAACTAAGTCCCAGCGTGCCGGGGTTTATACATAGCAACCAATGACCAAGGCACGAGGGACTTACTCCTTATCCTGAACTTTTGGCGTGGTTCCTTGAGATTTTTAGTAGGGGAAATTTAGGATTCCCTTTTGCCCCAACTCCCCATAATCTCCTGTTCAGAAAAAAATGGGTATGAAGAAGTGCCTGCTTCTTCTTCATCTTTCTGTCTGTTCGATTTTTTGTTTACGTTTGTGGTTATGTTTTGTTCTCAACACTGAAAAGTTGGTGTCCTGAAATCTGGAAATTTGAACATGCTGCGAGAATGTTACACAAGATACACAAGACATACACAGAAACCAAATTTCAAATTGATGAAGTGTAGAGAGGGTGAGAACTGGAGAGATTGAGATTCAAGGAGACATGAATAGAGGGAATCAAGTGTGAGAGGAGGAACTGGAAACAAACCACAAGCCAGTGTTCTAGACTGCGATCTGTTTGGCCTTCAAGTAATTCCATCAAAAAATGACCGTCAAAATGTCCAATTTGAAAAAAATACGCTTGAAAGTCTTCCCTTCATTTCCAGAACGACTCGAGGACATTTCTAGGATTGGATCCAAGATCAGTTCTTTCAATCAATGTTGGGTATACATTGGGAAATGTGTGGTTGAGCAAAGCTGACAATATATTGCTGAGCAGGTCGACAAACATTGAAAGATTGAAATTTCAAATTCAAAATTTTGAAAACTGGGTGTATACCACATGTACATATATACAGTGGGTGATCAAAAAGCTACGGTCTTTTCAAAAAAATAAAAATAAAAATACATTTTTTTATAACATTTAATGATTAATAGTAATTTCCCAAATGATGTTTCTGATGTAAATAGATGAAAATGATCGTAAGCATCTTGTCTATCTGTAGACATGACAAAATAAACATACCTTGTCATTC